TGGAAGCTTCCACAGCAAGATGCTCTGGGAAACCCTCTAGAGAGAGGCTGGCATCCTCAAAGGGCAACTTGTGGCTCACTCCTCGGCAGGCTTGTGCCAAGAGTCTGTGGCTGGCTTTGAGCCTGGGAGTAGCTGGGGAAAGCATCTAACCTTAGATTTTACTGCTTTTGTTACCACATTTGCCTCCTTCCATGGATTCCGTCCTATCCACCCCAAATAAGGATCAGGGAAAGAAGATAGGAGAAGGGGTAGAGGGGAATTTGGGGTTTAAAGAACTGAGTGTGTGGTCCCAATGTCAACGTGTCACTGAGAAAGTCACATCTATAAAATGAAGGCTTTCCCTTCCAACACAGATGATTCTAATTTTCTATGTCCTTTCAACTCTGTTAGAGGAGAGCAAGGCAGAGATTACTGTACCCATAAGTCATCCTTAGTTACCCACCAAGAATTTGGAAACACCGTGGCCTTCCTGGGCCTCCCAGAGGTAAACACTGAAACCAACACGTAGTAAGAGGCTCCCAGGAATGAGACCAGACTGAGGGTATGAACAAGTCTAAAGAAGAGGTGTGTTGATCTGAAGGGAAGCTGGTCAGTCCTAGAGGCAAGGAAAGGAGACACCAAGAGGGGAATTGTGGCCACACTTCTCTGACTTCTGTGTGGCGGACACCAGGGTCTTAAGAGTCCTTCTGGCCGGCTGTCAGGTGTCTGTATTGTGGAAACTCACGCAGCCGACCAACAAGGCCTGATGTCACTTTATTTTCAAGTTATAAGGCAGGCTTGTCTGTTAGGATTCCAGAGTCTCCAGGTACCTTCTGCTCTCCGCCTTCCCGGGGCGCTTCCTTCTAGGGAGTAAATGTCAGGCTGACATGTCTGTCTGGCCCACTGACCATCTGGTCTTATGCACAGGCCTTCGTGAATTTGTGGCCCTAAGTTGGCCTCCCTGAGATGATTTCTGGATGGGACTGAGTTTCTGGGCCTCTGAGGATGAAGCTGGACTCAAGGTCATGGTGCATTCACCCAATGGAAACCTATGAAGCTGGCTGGTCCTCCTCACTGCACAGCTGTGCAGCCTCAACTGTACCCAGGCCACCGATGAACAAAACCCAGGGTGGATCCAGGCCTATTAACTTCTCAGCTCACTAGTTCCTTCATATCATCCCCAAATCTATATTTGGAGTATTCCTCTTCTTATTTCAATCAACATTGTATAATAATAATAAAAGCTGATGTTTATTGACTCTGCTGTGTGCCCAACAGCCCCCCAGAGAAGGCATTATTGTCCCATCTGTAGAATGGGACAACGGGACCAAAAGAAGCTAATTATGGCTATCAGCCAAGAGAGCTGGATTCAAATCCATGTCTCCCTCTTAAGTTTGTGCTTAATTGTTATTACATTTAAAATTAAGCTGCGTGAGGGCATGAGGGCGACTTCTTGGAAGAAGAGTAGAGCATCTTCAGTGTGCTTTCCAAGAATTGCCTCATTCCAAAAGCAGACATTAGGACTCTCACTTACTAAGCTTAAAGAAGAAGAATCTGCCTTGATGGGAGAAGGCAGCCTGGCAGCAGTGCCTGGTTGGAGGAGTAGGAGAATTCAAGTGATGCCTTGGGCATCCCAGAGGACTGTGGCTGCCAGCTTTGACCCTGACACAGGAGAAAGATAACCTAGATGGTAAGCAAACCAAGAGGTAGAGAACGTAGCAGACTGCCTGGGCACATGGCATGCTGTTCTGTCCTCTGTAGCCTGGGAGGTCCAAGGCAGAAGATCAGTGGCTGTGTTCTGCACCTGGGAGTGGGTCCCCTGAGAACTTCTCAGGCAATGGTGACATCTCTCCCCTACTCCTTCCCAATCTGTATCGAAGGCTAGTTTGAATTTTGGCTTGGCAATCTTTGTTACTATCCTATATTTGACACTCTTAGTTTCTTTTCCCACAGATTTCTTACTCCTAAAAAGCAAATACATAATTTCTGAGTAACGTGTGCGGTAGACAACAACATAGATAATGTACTTGAAAGTCACACATGTGACAGTCTGTGCAGAGTCAAGGACAGATAGACATGTGGGTGTCCCAGGCAGGCCACAGTTTGGAGCTCCCTTAAAGCAATGTTCTCTATTTACTTGTTCAACATTTCTTGGATAAGAGTGAAGAGAAAATAATTTTTAGAAAGACTTTTATTTATTTTTATTTTATTTTATTATTATTTTTTTAATGGAGGTACTGGGGATTGAACCCAGGACCTCATGCATGTAATCACACACTCTACCACTGACCTATAATTTCTACCTGTCCCCCCACAATAATTTCTATAATGTTCAAAATGAGAAATTTGTCCTAATATGTTCGAAATAAGGAATTTATACTATGCACTGAGTATGACATAATATTTACTTGTTCGGAATGATTTTCATTTAACTTTTTAAAAAAATCACCAACAGCTAGACAGTGTTAGTCAACCACACTTAACTAAACATGAATATAGCCATGAAGTCTTTCAAATTATGTTAAATTTTTTTTCTCTGGCTGGCCAACTGGTCCTCACTTTTCTGCAGTTTGTTTTCTTACTAGCTTAAAAAATTTTTTTTCCAAGTCATATGTTTTCTTGGGTGCCATATTAAAATATTTTCTAGCTAGATAATGTAATAAAATACACTCTAGCGCAATAAACTATACTGTGGATTGTTTAGCTGAAGGACACAGGGATTTCAGGAGACTGTCAGCAAGCTGATCTCAGGGTTGGTGGTGTTGCCTGTAATTATGTTGCAAAAATGTCATCAGGGCTAGGCTGGCGCCTGGCAGGCATGCTTTTAAATGTCCACTGGAAGATACTGTCTGTTTCAGTAGACAGTTAACATTGTGCAGCAATATAAGGTGTCTCGAGGGCAAAAGTGAGAAAAGAGGCAGCATATTTTTGATCATTTTAGTAACGTTTTTGTTTCCTCTACAGGGACACCTTAGCTAGCTGTTTCATCTGGCTCCAGGCATGGTGACTGGGAAGGCACTGGGCTGAGAGAAACCTGGGTGTGAATCTATGAACTTGGGCAAGACACTTAACCCGTCTGAGCCTCAGTTTCCCCTTTGCAAAATGTTCATAATATCCATTTTGCAGTGTTATTAGAGATACTTTTGAAGTTGTAAATGAGGCTATTATTTAAAAGTATATCATATTGTATAATATACTGTATGTGAAAATACTATACAAATAATAATTAATAAGCAATTATCCTTTGCATTAATCCTTAATGGCCTTACTAACATATTGCTGCTTTGAAGAGTTAGTCCTAAAGCCCAGACCTGTTATAAAAGACTGATTTCTTTAAAAAAATTTAAATTTATTTTTATTCTTTAATTATTAAAATATAGTCAGCTTATAATGTTGTGTAAATTTCTCGTGTATAGCATAATGATTTAGTTATTTTCATAATCTTTTTCATTACAGGCTATTACACGATACTGAATATTGTTCCCTGTGCTATACAGTAGGACCCTGTTGTTTATCTATTTTATATATAGTAGTTAGTATCAGAAGGCTGATTTCTCGGGCAGGAGAGGGTATAGCTCAAGTGGTACAGTGCATGCTTAGCATGCATGAGGTCCTGGGTTCAATCCCTAGTAACTCCATCGAAAAACTAACTAAATAAACCTAATAACATCTCCCCGCAAAAAAAAATTTAACACATTGTAATGGACTGATCTTCAATTTAAAAAAAAGAAGGCTGATTTCTTAAATGTTTTCATGGGGAGGGGGGAGGGGGGAAGGGTAATAATGCAAAGTGTTGGCTATTAATTAACTCCATGATGGGGAATCCTTTCACAATGTATACATATATCAAATCATCACATTATACACTTTACATATCTTACAACTTTATTTGTCGATTATATCTCAATAAAGCTGAAAAAAAAAGGGCTGATCACCGAGATGGGTAATGCTCAGCACCGTGTACTGTATAACATTGTCGTACATCCTTGGGGAACATGTCCTGGGTGGGCAGTGGTTCCCAGCAGAGGCTTCTGAGTCAGACAGACCTGGGTGGGGCTGCACTGTGACTCTGACCTTCCCTATCTGCCATCTTAGAAAAACTGCTGTCAAAACACGTTTGTGTGTCTCATAAGGTTGTGCTGTCACCCTGCCCTCCAAACTCAAGTCATATGAACTATTTGTGGTTCCCAAAAAGCAATGGGCTCACTTCCCTGCTTAGCTTACTGTTCCCTTTCCAGGATGGCTCTTTCTCCTCCCGTATACTGCTAACTCCTGTTCTTCTCACCTTCCTCCAAGACTTCCCTGACCCTCAAGACTCAGGTGTCCTTTCCATCTGCCTGCTCGCAACCACCCTCCATTTATCCCTGTGGTCAGTGTATTGACATCGCCTAGGATTTTAGGGTTTAATATGTGCCAGGCACAGTGCTTAGTGCTTTATGTCAATTCTCTCACTGAAGTCTCCTAACAACCCGAGGAAATAGGTCTCAGTACAGATGAGGACACTGAAGCTCATAGAGGGTAAATGATTTACCCAAGGTCACACAAGTCCGAGCAGAGGAGCTGGGATTTGAACCCAGGCCTGTCTGACTCTAAATGCTTTGCTGTCAATTGTAAATTTCTAAGCACTTACAGGGTTGAGCACAGTGAAGGCACGTGGCAAGGACTCAACACATAATAGCTATTGTTATTTTGACCCAAGCAGATTGTAAACCTCTGGAGGGAAGGAATCTTAATCCATAAATGCTTGTACCCCTTGCACTTCAGCCCAAGAGAGGTGTGTGGATAGCAAGGGCAGAGCAAGGCTTCTGGAATACGTCCCAGAGCACCACTGAGAAACAGGTTCTCAATAAATGACTGACGTTGGTTTTCTATCACGTATCTCTGCAGTTAAGAGATATTTCATTTCTGGCCACACTCTGGCCCCTTTCCACTTCCATGTGAGGAGAGAACCGGACTACAGAGGGGCCCGAAACAACAGTGGAAGTTGCTTTTGGATGAGACACATAGGAACCACCAACCACCTAAATAAACGTCCTCTTTATTTTACCAAATATAATTTATCAGTTACGTTGACATTTGTCAATTCAGTTATAGTCACTATAAATAATTCTCTTAAGACACAGTTCTGTAACTTTGTAAAGGATATAAACCAATGTCGCTCCTCACAGCCCGGCCAAAAGTACATGCAGTTTGTGCAATCAGGGGAAGAGAAACCCATCTTCTGTGAGCGTCATGAAGTCGTGAGGTTCCTTTTCTTTCCCTCTCACCCCGCAGTCCTCCCTCTGCACGCACGCAGACTCAGGGCATGGGGCACGCCTACCTGCCTGCATTTTCCATAAAGGAGGACACCTCCAGGGCAGCCTGGCCCAACTCCAGGGATGAGGGAGGGGTGAGTGACTGGGGCAGGAGTGACTGCTGATCACAGGGGCACAGCCTTGGAGGCAGAGGAGTTGGTTCGTGTGTCTGTACAAGAAAGCGTCTGTGTGCAAATGTGTTTGGAGGTGGAGGAGAAGATGAAAAAAAGCCCGAGGAAGAGCAGAAGCAAGCCCAGGCTGGTGTTAATTAGCTCTGCTGGACACAACCCCCATGAGGTAACCTCTATGGTTCCGATTCTAAGGTTCTAGATGCCGGAGGCGGCCTGGGTAGAAATGGAGGGAGAGGAAAGAGTGTCTGGAGGTACAGGGCAAGTTCCTGGGATGAAGCGTGGTGTTGGTAAGAGACAGGGTCACTGTCTAGTCTTCCCCTGGGGATGCTACAGAGGGGAGGCTGTGGATAGAGAGGCTAGAAAAGACCTGCATCCTCATGCCCAGATGTGCACACACGTGAATGTGGATCTGTTCACAGTAAGGGTCACAGGGAAGGTGCAGAGGTTCCAGTGTTCTTCCACTCTGGTGCTGGGCAGAGAAAAGTAAAAGTAGCTGGTTGGTGCCAGCCCCCTAGTTCTGAGTCCTCTTTTGGGTGGCTGGTGAGGAGAGGTGGAGGGAAGGGAAGGTGAGGAAGGGTAGTTTCCAACCATGGCTGGGCAATGGGGCAAGGGCTCTAGCTGTGGTCAGCGTTGTATGGAGGTGGGATCTGGGAGGGAAATCTAAGGGCAGAATCTGGTTTGATGATAAAGATAGAAATACTTACGGGGAGGAAACTTTCTCCGCCAGATTGAAAAGGGCACACGGCCTTCGTATCTGGGGACTGAGGCGAGGTTAGAACTGTGTTTCCCTTACCCCTGGCTAGTCAGTGCCTGGCACAGTAACTAACACACAGTAGGCACTCAATAAACAGTGCTCAGTAAGCTTCAGACCATGCCTGCAGGAGAACTCCTACTGGGGAGGCTGTGTTTGTTGAATGAGTGAATGAATGAATGATGAACATGGGCAGAAGTCAAGAGAGAGGAGAACTGCCCTCCCTGGCATGGAAGAATGAGTGATTTTCGGAAATGCCAGAGTCGAAGATGACCACGTGATATGTCCTCAGGAGAAACAGCAGCAGTGAAACACCCCTGGTTGCCCTCACCCTCCCAACCATTCTCCACATGCCCATTCTCCATCCCTAATCTCGGAACCCAACCTAGCAAGCTCTGGGGAAGGTAGTGCTTAGAGACAATTAGAGATGCAGGTTGAACAGAGATAAAGAATCAGTCTTCTGGGCCCAGGGAGGAAGGATGTAGATCTTGGCAAACCTATAGGTGGACATGGGTCAACAAGGAGACCAGACCACCACTCATTTCTTCCTGGATGAGACAATCTGCTGGAAAAAGATCAAAGGGAGGGGTTGGTGGTATTTATCAGGCAACTGGGTGAGAACCAGGTACACAATTAAATAGTCCACCCCACTCTTTTTGAAAGTAGAAGGGCAGAGAATAGGGCTAGGATTATTTGGGGCAAGGAGCAAGCTGTCTCCTGCCTAGTGCTCTGAAGTTGGTCCATTTCTAGAAGAAGTATGCATGTGGGGGAGGGAAGGGGAGAGTGCTATTTCTCCATCTGTTCAACCAAAAAGAAAAAAAGAAAACAAAAACAAAACCGAAAAAACCAGAGCCCACTCACAAAGGGTTTCCTCATTAGGGGCCAGACTGAGTTTGCTAAAGCTACACCAAATAGCCCCAGATCCGACAGAAACCCCTGCCCCGAGCCCCTCACCTGGAGGCACCCACCATGAAATTGCACTTGGTGATTGTCTCAAAAATCAACTTGTACTGTTCATCGCAGTCCATCTGTCCTGCCTGAATTCTTGCTATACAAACTTGGCTCAATGTATAAAAATTCCCATTGAAAATAATGAGAATTCAGTATCAAAGTGAAGTCCTAGAAAGAGGTGGGAGTGTGGAGTGGAGGGGGGGAAGGAGAACAAAACCCAATTTTCGAAAGAAAGTGCAGAGGGGTGGAGAGGAGCTTGAGTGGCCAGGCTAGTCCCCCACATCCGTGTCTCGGTCCCCAATGAGCCAGAGAACGTGGAAGCTGAGTGCTAGGAGCCCAGTGCCAAGCAGGTCCCCCAGAGCCGTCAAGTACGGGATGGAGAAGTTGTCCGGGTCCAGGCCCCGGCCCCACATCCAGTGCACCATCCAGTCTGCGATGTACAGGAGAATCAGCACCTGGAGAAACAGAAGGGCCCAGCCTGTAGCCATCCCCTCTCTCCAGGGGGAGCCAGAGGCCACACGATTGGACCCATTCTTTGCATCACAAGGCTTGGCCGTCCACAACCCTTAAGCTGGGACAGCTCATCTTTCCACCCAGTAACCCCTCTATGTTCCTCCACCCCACAGTTACCACCTTGAACAGAAGACAGGCGTATTTTGGACTCTTTGGGAAGGAAGATGCCGCTACTCCCTGAGGTCTCCCATATCCGCATTACTTTCTGCTTTCAAACCTACCAAACAGGGGGCTTCCTAACCTACACCCGACTGGTTGCAGGAATCCATCCCTTTGGCCTCTAACACGGGTTCTTACGATTCTCAGGTCACTCCAATTCCCGTCCTGTTGGCCCCTCTGGGAGCCCGGCAGGGGGCTGGGGGGTAGGGTTCGCCTTTCATACATGGATTTCTCCTCAGAGCCAAGTGGGACAAGGACAGCGTTTGAGGCTGCTGCTGGCACAATTGTCTGAGTAACAGTTGATTATCCCAAGCGGGCTTCCTCCTGACCCCTTCCATTCTGCTTTTGTGGGCGCAAAGAATGCAAGTGTATGTTAACATTAGTCCTAGCGAAATAGAATTCAGAATAAGTCAGCTAAATATAAAGCAGACAGTGCATAGCAATTCAAAAGACATTTTGGATTAACTGCTGCTTTGGTTTATCTGGGCCCTTACTTTTCTTCCATTACTATAGAAAATAAAGAAGGATCTAGATTAGAAATCTTGCTAGTGGGCCCAGGACCAGCAGCACCAACAACAACTAGGAGCTTGTTAAAAATGCAGACTCTCAGGCCTCACTCTGGATCTCCTAAATCGGAACCTGCATTTTAACAAGAGTCACACGCACTGTTAAGTTGGTGATGTATTTGATCTAGAATACCACGGGGCAGTGGGCGGGCCTGCGTCTTCTATATACCCTGCATGATCCCTGATGTTCGGGCTTTCTAAATGACTGCATCCTGTGTGAGAATGAAATGGTTTTTAATGGTAAATCTCCAACACAGTCATCTGGGAGGCTTTACGGTAATTTGTAAATACTGTGCTATGCAAATTCTGCCCAAAGGGGCTGAGATACAGGAACCAGGGCTCACTGGGGGATCCGGAAGCCAGAAGTGACACCTATTTTTAGGCAAACTTGGTTGCTCTCTTGTCTTCTCTCTGAGGAAGCCAGGGGTTACAATTCCAACCCCCATCACATTCCCCGTGGCCCTGCACACGGCTGCCCTGGACTCCTGTGTCCCTGGCCCCGGCCTGGGTGAGGGTCAGTTCCTCCCCCTGCCCCCACCCCTTAACTTCACACCCTTTCCAACAGCTGCAGAAAAGTCCCAAATAAAGAGCGTGTGGCCAGGAGGACTTTGGGACGTGCCCCAGGAAGGGGATGGCAGCAGCTGTCCCCACATTCCAGCCTCCCGAGCAGGCCCAGGCACACGTGGCTGGGAGGTGGTGGCAAAGGAATCAGGAAGAACCTTTAGATCAAGTGCTACGCTCCAGCCCGCCGCAGCCTGGAGAAGACAGCAGAGGTGACAGCGGCCTCCAGTGTGTTCCTACTGGGGAATGGAGCCAAGGCGCATCCTTCCCAATGTAGGCTGAGGGCTACCCCCCAGCCACAGACCCTCAGCACACACAACCCTCCCCTTTCCCACCGAGTGCACTGAACCCCAACACAGAGGAATGTGACAACTTGGGGTAATTGCTGTGAGAAACTGCACGTGGTGGATTCCCAGGCCAGCCCTTGCCAAGATGTCCTAACACACGTTTCTAAAGTTGGGGGTGAGGGGTTGGAGGGATAAAGGTTAAATGAAATTATGGTACATCTATACAACACAAGAGAATGCAGCCATAAAAATCAGTGTGCTCTGCTCTTTACACATCGATGTGGAATGATCTCTAAGACAAATTGTTAAGTGAAAAAAGCAGGGTGTGGGCAGCATGTACAGTGTGCTACATGTGTGTTAAAAAGGAGGAAAACAAGAAAAATATGTCTGTTTGTATAGGTACAGAATAAAGCTTGAAAGATATACAACAAATAGGAAACACCTGGGGGGGAGGGATACATTTGGAATTTGGGATTTATAGATACACACTACTGTATATAAAATAGATAAACAAGGACCTACTGTATGGCACAGGGAACTATATTCAATATCTTATAATAACCTATAATGGAAAAGAATCTGAAAAAGAATACAGGTACATATTACAACTGAATCACTTTGCTGTACACCTGAAACATTGTAAATCTACTACACTTCAATTAAAAAAATTAAAAAATAAACAGATCACACCAGTGGCCTGTGAGGAAAAGAACCAGATGGCTGGGAAAAGGGGAGAAAAGAAGACTTTTTCACTGAGGTTTCACTATGAACCTTTAAAACATTTTGAACCATGTGACTCTTACCATCTATTCACAAAACAAATCTGCAGGAATTTAAAATGTAATAATACGGGTGAGTTTGGCTATGAAGGGGTTGCATGAAGGAGCCTTGTGGTGATGGACTTCTGTAACTTTATGGTGGTGGTGGTTATAGGAATGCACATGTGATAGAGCTGCATAACCCTGCACGCGCGCACACACACACACACATACACGTGTGCAAGTAAAACCAGTGCGCCTGAGTAGCTCTGCGGACTGTACCAATGCTGATTTCCTGGTTTCGATGCTGTGCTGTAATTGTGTAAGATGTTACCACTGAGGAGAACTGGGTGAAGAGTCCATGGGGTCTCTCTCTACATTCTTTTTTTTTGGGGGGGGGCAACTTCTTGTGAATATATAATTATTTCAAAATAAAAGTTGCAAAAATGTAATTAAAAAAGAAAAAACAGGGAGAAAGCACCATCGTATTACAGAGTGGCGAGGCTGGATGTGAGACACAGATTATCTAGTGCAGCAGTTTTGACACTTTTTCAAGCTGTGAAACCCTTTCTTCAAATGAAATCTCCCAAGGAAGCCCAGCACATAAACAGAACCTGCAGAGCTGTGTGGCCTGGCCAGTGGGGGTAGGCCACCCTCTCTGGGCCATTCCTCTCAATTTACAAATGTATTATTGAGGCTCAGAGAGGTAAAGCAACTGGGCCAAAGTCACACAGCATGTTAGTGACTTCGCCTGTTCTCCTGAGCCCCTGTCCAGTGTTTATCGGCCACCCAATCACAGAGAAAGAGGTGGCCGAGTGTCTGATGGGCCAAGCCTCCCCCTCCCATGTCTGCAGGGCAGCCCTGGCCCCAGCCCGTGCCCCTGCCAGTCCATACCTGCAGCAGTGCAGCTGTCATGTAGAAGATGATGAAGATGAGTGTGAGAGTGGTGTGCCCACCCTGCATACAGCTGATGGTGTAGAGGAACACCAGGTGTCCTGGAACCACGAGGAGAAAGAGGACCCGGGCCGAGCGAGAATTCACATCTGGGTCCAGGGGAGAGAGGGTGTGAGAAGGAGGAGACCTGGCTCCAGGAGGCCTTTCAAAGTCAGGAGGCCCTACGCTATATTCTGGGCCAGCAGAAAACTGACTGTCCCTACGTCTCCATCCTGTGGTTCCCAGCCCCCAGGGTGTCCCAGGCAAGGGCAGCCTTCCTGCCTGGGCTGTGCCCTCCAGAACCAACAGAAAAAGAGAACCCATGTATCTGGGCCATAGCTGTTTCTTAAGTGATGGCGTGAACCTAGGAGGTGGAGACTCTGGCTTTACATTACCGGGACTGAAGAAGGTGGTACAAGGGCTGGGGCAGCGGCGAGGGGCTTGCTCAGAGTTCTCCCCTGGCATCCCGTTCATGTGGAGGAAGGTGGAGATGCGGCTGGCCTGCACGGCCACCAGATTGCCCCCAACACCTGCAGAGACACACAAGACCTGAGATGTGGTGGGGCCAGGGAGGTAGTGCATGGCCCCTTCACCAGTCCCTAGGAGAAGAGTGAGACACTAAGAAGGAAGACAAGGGTACCCCTCCTCCAGAGAGTCTTCCAGGCTCCTCCCATCCTCCTTACTATGGAAATGTGGCAGTCCCATGCACCCCTGGCGTGGCTGAGAGCGCAAGGAGGGACACGGGCAGATCTGCAGACTCAGGGAGCCTGCCTTCTCCACCAGTGCAGCTGGCGCACCTGCTGTCCCACACAGCCAAGGGGACGGGGCCCTGCCTTGCCTTAGCCGCTCTCGGAAGCTCTGCACGGACCCAGCCACCCAACGCTCATGCACTGGTCCCAGTAACCAGTTTCAAGCATTAGGTTTGAGCTCTGAACTCTGGGACCTCTCCCAGGAACTGTGCTAATTACTCTGCCTTTCCACCCCAACCTATTCCCTCAGCCTTGCTCTGAGCCCTGGGAAGCTGACTTCCACAGATTGCATCGCCCAGCCTCCCTTGCTGGCTGCTTCTAACTGGGTCTGTTCATCAGAAGGCACCAGTAGACAGAAAGGGTGGGAGGAGAGAGAGGTTGGGTATTTCTTTCCTGATCCCTCCTGCTTTTTGGCAGTGGCTAACCCCTGCGAGGGGCAGAGAAGGGCTCTCTCTGGGCTCCTGCAACACCATTTCCTCCCCTTGACCCTTGAGGACCAGGGCTTCCTGTGGTTGCTACCCTCTGGGTCCCTCTAGCCTGATCCCACCTCTGTGAGCAGCCCCGTCATTAAAGTCTTGAACTATCTGAGTTGGATTCTCTTGCCTGCTAGAACTCTGACTGATACACAGCCCCCGAGTCCTCTGACCCCGTCCTCTCCTCCCCACCGGCAGCTGACGTCGAGACCTCACCATTAATCACAGGTGTGAAGACAGCCATCCCTGCAAAGTTGGGGTCTGAGACAGTCTTGTCCAAGATGAGGCCTCCCACACTACACAGACACAAAGACAAGATGACACAAAGATCACTGAAGGGTTTGGTTTCGGTCCCTGGGAGGAGAGGACCAGGCCCATCTGGCTGTGGGCAGCAAGGTGGCTCCCAGGAGTCCCTGGTCTTCCAGTCCTCGCTTCCTTTGCCAGAAGCAGCTGATGTTCTAACATTGACATTGGCACAGTGCCCCGAGCAAGCTGCTGGTGCTGGGTCAGGCAGCCGCCTCCGGTACCCACCCCCCACGCTGGCCGAGGGGCCGCCTGCTGTTCTGCCTGCTCAGTATTTATTTCCCCTCCTGGGAACAGTGCTGGGCTTTTCCTCAGGGAACCACCTCTCTCGAACTCAGTCACTGTGGTTCGAGTGACAGTGCTCCAATGATAGCGAGGCCCCAGGCCCATCCAATCAGAGCAGCACATCCCCAAGGCCACAGTGATTGGCTCGGGGATAACCAGGTGACTGAGTGAGAGCCAATGAAATTCTATAACGGGACTCCGTGGAATTGTTAAGAGAAAGAAACTCTCTCCCCATCCTGGAATTAGTAAGCATAAGAAAAGAAAAGTGCAGACCGGGAACTGTAGGCCAGCACGGAGGAAAGCAGAACCGACAAATGGAGACTGCGGGGCCCTAATGATGTCATTTATGTCCCTGAATGCAGGTGTGCCTTTTTAGTTCCCTAGCCAACGTGTTCTGCTTTCTAATGAAACCCATTTCAGGTGGCTTCTGTTGCTTGCAACAGAAGGACCTGTGACTGATCCACCGGTGAAGGCATTTCTAGAGTCCATGCCACACTCCCTTTTTCCAGGGCTTAAAAGGGTCTATGGCAGGGACGGGGGAGGATGGGGGTGGGTATTAAGAGCCCGAGCCTACCTGCTGATGGCCATGGCAATTATGACAGGTTCCCAGCCCGAGTACAACACCTCCCTTGTGGCTGGGCTCCGTCGGGCCAGCACCACCCAGACAGGCAGCAGGGCCACGAAGAAGGCACACACCAGGGGGTAGATGTATTGCCAGACACCTGAGAGAGGCAGAGATCAGAGAGGGAGGTGAGCACTGTGCCTCCCGGCTCGCAGCCTCCCCTTGGCTCAGCCTGCAAATGTCCCAACAAATCAACAGTAATACCACACTAAGTGCCAGTACCTATACTGCCTCATTTGATACTCACTGTAAGCCCAGGAGGTAGGCAGGGCCAGCCTTTTCCATTTTGGAGATGAGGAAACCAAGGCTGAAAGCTCCTCCCCAGACATTGGACATATTAGGGGTAGGGACCAGATGCCAGGTTTCTTGCTTTGATCCTCAGAAATCCCTGTCTCCCCTCCTCTTCTTCATTTTGCAAGCAGCTTCCAGCTTTTAGTTCCTTTCCTACCTTACCGCTCCAAGGGAGGTAAGAATCCACAGGACCAAGCATATTTCTCAGATATTTTCACCCCTGCTCCTACTGCCTGCATGAATTTGAGATAAATACTTAGCCTCACCTCTTGAAGGGAGGGAGTTACTACAAACTGTGTTCCAACCAAATCGTTAAGAACATAGAAGAAATCTTTACACTTTTGTAAACCCACTACCATCTCTCCCAGTCCCACGCAGGAGTCCACCCCAGTCACGCTCTCGGTGGCCTCAGCCTCACCCTGCTCCAGGTAGAGTCCCCAGCTGATGCCTGAGAGCAGTGCCAAGGTGATGAGGTCGCCCAGGCTGGCAGCAATGGGCGTGGCCACATTGTCTGGGTTGATTCCTATCTTGCGAGAGCCAATAATGACTCCAATCATGATCATGCCTGGGGAGGAAGGAGATGGGCCAGGCAAAGTAAGAAGAGGTAAGTGGGTATCAATCAACAAAAAGAGAGACTGGAGGTGCCAAGCTTAGTTGACACCTCTGGGCAGCCCTTCCTACTCCCTGCCCCTCCCTTCCCTTCCTTACCCAGGACCAGGGAGGCAATGAAGGCTGTGGCCACGCTGCTGGCACAGAGCAGGAAGGCATGCGGGATACTGAAGTGGCCGTCAGGGATCCAGCCAAAGACGACGGCCGCGATGGAAGCCAGGAAGCCCACCACCGTGGCCTGCACCTGCGGAGGGGAGTGGTAACTCGGAGAGCAGAGAGCTTCTTAGCTGAGGTCACTGAGCACTTAGCCAGACCTCTTCCTGGCCCTCAGCAGCCCCAGGAGGCAGGCTGGGCTGGCCTGTCCAACCCTCCCAGGCTGGAATAATCTCTTTATTTATTTAGTTTCACACCAGACACCAATACTGGGGAATGCACTCTGCAGGAGCCCAGGACATGTTACTGGCTGAGTGAATATTCCTCTGGGGATAGGGGTGAGACTTCAGTCCAGACACAAGGCCTGGGACCAGTCTGGAAACTGTGTGGCCTCATGGGGAGATGGGACAACAGTGGTCCAGGGCATTTCAGCACCCCTGAATCTCCTCCTGAGTCTGATCTGTGGGGACACGAGCTCTCTGGACCACTGGAAGTCAAGAACTGACACTGGAGATAGTAGGGTCCCCCCATCTTTGCTGTTCTCCTAGGAAACCTGGTTACCTCCTAGAGTTGCTTTGGGAGAAGCCAGCTCAGCAGGACACGGGAGCTTTACTCAGGAGCCCGTGGGGGGCTGACCTAAGCCTTCCAGATTCCTGACCAAGGAGGAAGCTTAGCCCACCTTCTCTGGTACCTGCTCTCTTACCTGGATGAGGGCCATGTTCCCAGTGATCATCCGCCAGAGCTCCTTGGGTGTGTCCATGTGCCCGATGTTGGCCTGGGAGAGGGGGGACAAGGGGTCTGGAGCTCCAGGCTGGAAAAGGCCTGTAGCTCCATCCGTTAGGACCCTGCCTGGATCAGTAGGCAGTGCATGTGACCTGAGACTCTGGGACCAGGGCACGACCCGCAGGGAGAGTGAAGCAGGGGCAGGGGGCTGGGATGAGAGGGAAGGAGCTGAAGAGCCTTGAGGTCCTGCAATGGGCTGGGGGTGAGAAGGGGGCTCCCACAGCAGGGCTCCCCACCCCCTTCCTCCCAGGACAGTCACTGAGCGGAGGCAGAGTTCATCCTCTGCCCTGCTCATTCGGGTGGCTCATTCCCACCTGGGTTAGAATGACATGATGGATCCCTGGCTCTGAAGCCAGCCTGCTCTCTTAGGGAAGGAAATCAGCTGCGGGTGCAGGACAGAGGTTGCAAGAGTGTTTGGGAGGGAGCGAGGTGGCACGGGTAGGCCGGGAGTAGGGCCGGTTGGGGAGGGCTAGGCTGGCTGCCACTTCTCTCTGCTGCCTTCTCCAGGCTCATGGTTATGCAGGGACATCCCTGCCACCTGGCTCCCCTGGCGTCCTGAGTTTTAAGGCTTCCAGCCCAGGGCCCTGTATCTGGTTCAGTCTCTGAACCATCATGGCTGATTTAAGCGACCGCGGGGCGGGGGGGAGGGATGAGCAGCCCCTCTTCATTTCTTCCTTCACAGAGAAGCAAGCGGCCATGGGGGAAAGGGAACGGGATGGGAGGCGGGTGCTGGGAAGGCCTGGCTCTGCTCCTGCCCAGCTGCAGAGTAGGGCTGGAGATCAGAGGAGGCCCCCATCTGTGCAGGTGGAGGGACCAGCGTGAGCCTTGCCTGTCAAAGCTGCACAAACAGTCACGAGGCGGGTTGCGAAGCAGGGGGTGGGGCAAGAGTCCAGGGATGGCTGGGACATCCAGAAACCGAGCCTGGGAACCACTCTGGGCAGGGAGCCCCTGCCCAGGAGCAGGACAACCAGCCTGGGATCTCCCTACACCTTTCCACCCCAGCCCCACACCGCAGCCCCGGGCGGCTGAGAGAGGGCTGCAGAGGTCTCCTAGTCGGGTTCTGTGCTGCCCGGAGTCCTCTGTGTGCCCTACTCCTTCCCGCCAGGACACTCACTGCGGTGGAAAGCCTCGATGCCAGGGTCATTTCCAGGTTCCCCTTAAGCCCCAGCAGTGCAGGCACCAGGATGAAGACCTCCGTCACCTTCTGGAAGACTTCCCAGTGCTACAAGGTAAAAACAGAACCCAGGAATTTCAGGGCCCCAAAGGGCTGGCACCAAGGTTGAACGTGAAACCAAGTTCCCCTAAAAGCGAGTACCCTTCTTGAGTTTATGGTTAATCACTCTATCCAAAACTTTATTCCCTTTCTTGTCCCCTCTTCCTCAGTCCTGTGCTAACTGAACACAAGCCACCGGAGTCAGGTGGCTAAGACTGCTGAGGTCAATGATAACACTGTTGAAGTACAGACTCAGGTTGTTCCTCCAGGGCAAGATGAGCTAACAGATCCTTGGGTCATGGACCATCGGATCGGAGTCTCTTAAAAAAACAGTAAGCATCCAGACTCCGAAACTACAATTAAGAAGCGTCACAAGATGATGATTAACCCCCAGCTTCTTTGCTCTTCCCCTTGAAAAACTCTCAATTCAAAGACCGAGTGGGAGTGGACCGGAGGCCTATCTTCCACTCCCTTGCTTGGCGCCCCGCACGAAGCCCTTCCTTGGCTGCACACGCCGCTGTCAGAGTTTGGCTTTCTGGCTGTGGGCACATGCGCCCTTGCTTGGTTACAACTGGACAGTCTGGGGGCAGGGGCTTGAGGAGGAAACGGAATCAGCAGGGGTGAGCACGTCAGCCGCCTTTTCTCCAGGAACCCTGGAAGCAAACCAAGCCCATGGTGCTCCGAACAACACAGCCCCCCTTCCTGCCACCCAGAAAAGGGGGTGCGTAGAGGGTCCCTTTCGGTCTGGAGACCCTAGCCCGGCTCTGCTTCCTCTGCATGCTTTGTGGGGCCAGGGGAAAAGACAGTGGGGACCCACAGAGCTGAGTCACCACCCTGGGCTGGCTTACACCCCAGAACTCCTTTGCGACCCTCCCTTCAAATCACCTTCAGTCTAGTTTCTCTGTGGCCTCAGCCTTGGGTGGTGTTGTCTCAGCTGTCGAGCGCTGGGCTCCACGGGGCTGGGGTTGAGGAGATTAGAGTTTGTTTGGTTTCTATCTTCAAGGGTTCTGGGCCTCAGCCACAGCAACCCTCCTTCAGAAAGGGCTCCGAAGTCAGACCCTGGCCCCCAAACCTCAGAGTGCTGGTCTGCAAGAAGCTTTTTAATCCCCCTCTGAGCTCCCTCATCCCACAGACCTCCCCAAATCTCTCAGCTAGGAGAGGGGCGTGTCCCCCTGCAGGAAGAGCACTGATCTGGGAGTCAGGAGACCTGAATTCTCGCCCTGAGACACCCCCAGCCCTGGCTCTCCGCCCACCCTTTTCTTCAGCTACATCTTTTAAGTCGGCACTTGGTGCTAGGCTAAGTGCTCTATGCGCATTTTCTCATTTCATCCTACCAACATCCCAGTGAGGGAGGAGCTATTTCAATCCCCATTTTGTAAACGAGGAAACTGAGGTGCAGAGAGCACTGTGCTCCTTAATGCTAGGAAGAAAACATGCAGGAGCCAGGATGGGCTATTTAAAAGCTGCTTTAGCTGCGACTGAAACTGAAGATGGGCAAAAAGGCTGGGACTGCGCTTCCTCCCTGGCCCCGAGGGCAATGTGGGTTCCGTTTGGTGCTCCTTTGTTTAAGGGTGGGAAACGTTCAGGTTTGGAGAGGGGAGGGGTCAGGCGGCCAGGCAGAGGTATGCAGGCTGATCCGAGCATCCTGGTCAGGAGGGAAAGCGCTCTGATGTGCAAGGGAACTGGACTGAGAGCCTTGGGTCCCCCACAAGAGACTGCAAGGCTGGGCCTCGTGCTCTCTCCCCAACATCCTCACACAAAGAGCAGTGGAGGCACCTTAGACAAGTTGCAAGGGCCTTGAGCGCCTGACTATAAACCGTACACTTCAGGGGGCAGATCAGATGGTCCCTAAAGGCAATGCCACCACCGACATGCTATAGTTAAATATGAGCGAGGTTGTAAATTAAACCCACAATGAGGTATCACCTACACCCATGAAGATGGCAACTATTAAAAAATAACAAGTGTTGGTGAGGTTGAGGAAACATTGAAACTGTTGTGCACTGTGGATGGGAATGTAAAGTAAAATGATGCAACCACTATGGAAAGCAGTATGATCTCTCCTTAAAGAATTAAGAGAACTACTTTATGATTTAGCAATCTCCCATGTGCTAAAAGAACTGAGAGCAGGGTCTGGAAGAGATATTTGCACATCCATATTCACAGCAGCATTATTCACAATAGCCAAGAGGCAGAAGCAATCCAAGTGTCCCTTGATGGAAGAATGAATAAACAAAACGTGGTCTATACACACAAGGGAAAAGCTACGCAGCCCTGAAAGGAAGGAAATACTGTTACACGCAACAACATGGATGGACCTTTATTTAATTTATATTTTTAATAACTTAGTTTTACTTTATTTTATTTTTGGCAGGGGAAGGTAATTAGTTCTGTTTGTTTGTTTATTTATAGAGAAGGGACTGGGGATTGAACCCAGGACCTCATGCATGCTAAGCATGCGCTCTACTATTTGAACTACACCCTCCCCCCAACACAGATGGATCTTAAGGACATAATATTAAGTGAAATAAGCCAGTCACAAAAAAGACAAACACTACGTGATTCCACTTACATGAGGTATCTAAAGGAGTCAAATTCCTAGAAACAGGAAGTAGAATGGTGGTTACCAGGGGCTGGGAGGAGGCTGAAAAGGGAAGTTAGTGTTCAATGGATGCAGTGGTTGTTTTGCAGGATGAAAAAGTTCTGGAGATCTGTTTTACAACAACGTGAATATATTTAACACTATTGAACTATACATTAAAAATGGTTACAATGATAAATTTTATGTTTTCTTTTTTAAATCACAATAAAAAAAAAGGGTGAGCAGGGCTATCAGAAAGGGCTGAGGCCAGGATTAGACACCAGGAGAGGCTGGGCCCTGGGGTGTCTTATGGAGGCAAGGACCCCTCTTTCCCTGTTTGAGTTTTTTGTGGGTATGGGTGTGTTAACGGTGATGGCAGCAGGGTGAGTCCCTACCAGGACCCTGGGAAGGGCTCATCTCATTAAGGCTAGATCCTACCCTTCCCTGAGCTCCTGGCCTGGTCCCTCACGGGTGGAAGGCCCAGGACTCTTTAGAGAAGCCCCTTTCTGAAGACTAAGGATGGGAAAGAAATCCCCTCTCCCCCGGCAACTGCTGCTGAACTTTCAGGCACCCACAGGAAGAGTCAGGAGGGATATAAATCCCTTCTCACCCCTGAGGCCCCCAGAGAGAAGGCAGCCAGCCCCAGTGAGCCCCATCCGCCCTGGAGGAACTCGGGCACTGTTACTCTTGGACACGGCTGGTGCATACCACCGGGGTTCCAGCTCCCAGCAGGCAAGGCCTTGCACCTCCTCCTCCCTCGCCTCAACTGGACACGCAGCTCCAGAGATGAAGAATTCCCTCCCCTCCCCTCATCAGGGCAGCCGACTGTGGGTTTTCAAAGCTCCTCTCAGAGCACAGCCTCACATCTCCTCCTCACTGCAAAACACCTGCCACTCCCGGCTTCTAAGCTGTCAGCTCTGTGAAGAGCTGAGGTCTTCAGGTAGGCCTATGTAATATACGTACACGTACTGGCAGAGTGAGGAAGCCCGGAAGGAAATACTCCACATGTATGCCAGCAATATTTTCTAAACTGTTTGTAAGGAATATTGTGACTGGCTTATTTCACTGTCTTTATGAATGAGAAAAAAATGTATGAAGCTCAGCTAAGCGCTCCCCCCCGACCCCAGGCTGCCACTGTAAGCACTCCCAGGTCCCTCCACCTCCCAGCACACGCGCACCCTCTCCTTCAACTACACGAGGACCTGGAGGGGATGGGGTTTTAGTGGTGATGAGATGCGGGATAGACGGGTGAGGAGAACCAGCAGCTGCAATAATAGCCCCTATGCAAAAGTCTCCCCAGCCTGTCCAGGAGCAGCCTGAAACCTCCCACCCCCGGGCCCCCAGCCCAGCAAAGCTCTGAGCTGGCACTTGGGTCAGAGTAGCCAATTCCCACACACATACTTTCCTCACCCACAAAACCCTCGCAAAGATGAGGCTCAGGCGTGGGAGTCTCTGACGTGCCTGCGGGTGCGTGCACACACACACACACTGACATACACACACACACACACACATACGCACAGACACACACACACACCAACACACACACACAGACACACACACACAGACATACACACTGACACACACACACTCAGACACGTACGCAGACACTGACACACACACACCCTGACACACACACACAGACACACACACAGACACAGACACACTCAGACACATATGCAGACACAGACACACACACAGACACACAGAGACAGACAGACACACAGACACAGACACACTCAGACACATATACACACACAGACACACACACACACGGCTCTGGGAAGAGCCCGGGAAGCAGGGTTAGGCTAGTGAGGTGAGAAGTGGGTAGAATGTGTGCAGACAGTGTCTCTCCTGCCTCCTTAGGCCTAATTCAGGCCCATCCTGTTCATCCTGGCTGGAAGCTCCTGCCCCTGGAGTCAAACTGGTCAGCCAAGCGCTCACCCACGCCTTCCTGCTCTGCTGGGGATGGAAAAGGGCACACGTTCCAGGAAGTACTGGGTAGGAAGTGGGGACAGGACGGGACACCAGATTTCACTGCTTCTCAGAAATGCTGCTCCTCTTCTCTTTCTCTGTCCTTGGCGGGGAGTAGGGACTCACTGGCTCCTGATATTTTAAGGGTGAGGGATGAGACTGCAGCCCCCGACACTTAGAAATAATTCTGATTCTGAGCAATCACCCTAAGTCTCGCACCTCAGTGGCCCTGCCGCTACTGCTTCTTGGTCCTGTCAGCTTGCTCGTCTATCCCTTGCTTCCTCCAGCCTCAAGGGCAGACCCTCGCCTGCCTTTGATTATTCTGCCCTGAGCCTTCTTCCCCTCCAGGAGGAGAGCAGCTGGGAAGAAAGTCACAGCCCATAAGAGCTGTAGTCAAAGACGTGAAGAAAACTGAAATCCCTAGAAGCTGTAAGAACCAGGCTGCGGGAGGACCTGGGACGTTGGGCTGGAGTTGACCTTTCAGGGTGAGGGCTGGGTCAAAATAGATCAGAGTAAACCCAGCCTTCACCTGAGGCTTTCCCCTTAACCCGCAGACATACTCGAGGTGTCACAGGAGAAGGGCCCCCGGGCAACGCCTGGGTACAGAAGGCTGTACAAAGTGTGATAAAAGGGGCGGTCATGTGGAACCCGCGTGTCCTGCCCAGGAATGCCAGCAGCCGTGGGGGCAGGCCAGCCATGAGAGGAATGCTCTTTCCCGTTCCACTTCCCCAAGCTTGCCATCCACTTTCATCTTGGTGGATTCCTCTGTATACACAGCAGGGCAGAAAAGGGGTTATCTGGGGGCAGGAGGGGTGTCTCCTTTCCTTGGGATCCTCAGCAAGTGAGTAGTGAGTTAAGATAAGGACCTAGGAGTCCCACCTGTCTTAACACAGATGGACGCTCCAGTGAAGGTTGGCACGCCACCTCCTGCCACTTCCATCCCTCAAAATATTAACAGAAGAGGGGAGTGAGATGCTCTGCAGCAGCCTGAGACCAGACCAGGAGGCGGGGCACAGCATCTCCAGCATTCTTTCCCAAATGCTATAGGAACTTTCAGCCTCGGTAGGGAACACGCAGCAGATCGCAGCCCACTTTATCCCTTTCCCACTTTTGGCCGGTACGCCAGCCCCTTATCTCACTGCAGAGGCTGGCTCTACGTGCTGAGTGGAGAGGAGGGCAGATAAGAGGAGACAGAAATGGGCCTTCTGGGGAGAGACTGGGGCTTCTGCAGCCGCGGAGGGAAACAGGGGGCCCTAGATCAAGGAGACATCTTGCAGCAACACTGGGCCTTCTGCTCAGTTGTTTGGAGGCACTGGGAACACTCTACAGCCAGCTCCTGCAGGTGGCCCCAGCCTCTCAAGCACTCCCAGATCCTGTCCCACCGAAGGCTATCTGAGCTTGTGAAGGGGGAATGCAGGTGTGAGCCCTTAGAAGCCGTCCTGGTCTTCCTGAATCTGAGGCTGTCAGTCACCCCTCTCACCCCTCTGGATGTGGAATAAGAGTCTCCCTGCGGTCTCACGCCCTGGGCTTTTTGCTCCCACCCCTGCCATGACATCACTGCAGCTATCTGCAGGGCCTCTCCGGGCCAGCTGCGGCAGGGAGGCTGGGGAGGGGGACAAAGACAAACCGGTCATTGTCATCCATACCAACCGGACCCTAGCTCTGGGGTGAGCCGAGGTGGCACACCAAGGGCAAATGCTGGCCATCTGTGGGCACACTGGGCAGGCTTCAGATTTCCTACCTAGGTCTCTCAGGCTCATGGCTGAGGGGTGGGGGTGGGGGAAGACGTCAGAAGCCTTTTCTAGCTCTAGAACTCTCTGTGTGTGGGTTGGGGGGAGGGGCTCTCTAAGAACTTCTGTTCCTGCTCACTTGAGAATACAACTCCAATTGTTCCAGATTCTAGTCCACCCTGTTCTTCAGGGAAAGACGAAGCGAGCAGACTCCTCCCAAAGTCTTTAACCAATTGGCAAACCATGGCCACACTGAAGGCCACAGAGATCAATGGCGCAGGTTCTGAGTCAGATGACCAGGTTGACTTGTTGACTCTGAGCCACAGGCTACCTATCAACAAATTATATTCTACCTTACGGGCCTACCGAAGGGGCCCACCAAATGCTCCCTGCTGACATTCTTATTATCCAGAAAATAAGTTCACCGCCAGACCCTGGTTCTACACCCCACTGGACACCCCAAACCAGACCTGGGAAACTCTGCGAATGAGAACCAAGGCCACAGGAAAGGGATGGAAGACGTGGAGGAGCGGCCACTCTGGTCTCATTTCTCCTCCTCCCATGACCCCCACTAACTGCCCCGGGAGGAGGAGCAGCCGCCAAGGGGAGGAATCCAAAGCCCACCTTCCCAGACCCAGGCCGGCTCCCTCATCTCCAGGAGGAGCGAGTCCCCAGACAACAGGCTGAGGGGAGAGGAGGCAGCACAAGGCATTTTGGCGTGACATAAACACCATCCTCATCGGTATCCAAAGGTACAGGCTTCTCCTAAAGACCCAAGTCAAAGTGGTCCAGGTGGACCCTACCGAAGCAACCACCCAGAGCCACCAACCCTCAGTTCCTGGGACACAGACACGGACACATGCCAGCAGGACTCTGTATGACCACATGCATCGTTTGTTGGGTTGACTTGGCAAAGAGGAGGGGATGCTGAACTCCACATCCTCTTGAGAGATTCCATGGTCAGGGACACACTGGGTTGGGGGGCGGTGGCAGTGGGGAAGGACAGGGGATGATCCCAAAGGGCAAAGGCCAGATCTCCTCCAGCTTTTGTATTTCTCTGAGTACCTAGGACAGAGCCCAGCACTAAGCAGGAATTTGATGAATGCTAATGATTAACTCAGATAAACCCAGCACCTTCAGAAAGCCCTGAGTGCTCTACTGAGCTTCAAAGCCGCTAGCTAAAAATAAGACTTCTAACTATCTCTGGGACCTGGAGGTTCTGGGAAAGTCCTTGCTCACGATATACTAACATAGCATATCCCTGGCTCTTAGCTTCGGGGTCCCACCAATTCCTCTCCTTAATTCTACCCAGGAGCCTCACAAAGAACTCTCTTTGCCCATAGCAGATTCATGAAAGACAGGTGAGGAGTAAGGAGGAGAGACAGGTCTGCCCAGGCTTGGTTATATTTTGTCTCCATATATGTCACGTAATTAGCACTTTGATGTCTTATTATGTCACCGCCCCACCCCCCACCCAAATCAGGTTATCAGACAGCATGTGCCCAACCTCCACCCCCATTCCCCAAGGGGATCCTGCCAAAGTTACAGGCAGACAAGCATCACGAAATGCCGTTAAGAACATTCCCACTTAATCTGAGACCCTCTTGGCAGCTGGACAAATTCCTGCCCAGCAGGGGGATGGAAGGGAGACTTGAAACTGAGCTTTCTACTACGGGTGTCCTTGAAACCCCAAAGTAGAGGCATAAAAAGAAAGCATAAAGAGGAGACCCATCTAAATGTCTCCCACTGAGCTGGGCTCAGCAAGGATGCCCAGGAGGGATGGCAGGCAACAACCCTGTTCCATTTCTCCTCTTCCAAGCCTGAGCTCTGGAACCAATTCTGCTTCTGGTAAGCAATACTGCCCTGACCACCTCCCCGGGGCTATCGGGCTTCCTAGGGCTGCTGTAGAAAGTAACTAGACCAAGAAGAAACCGAGGACATGATCCAAAGGGAAACAGTATTCTAGGAAGCAGCAGCTGCTTCTGACAGGGAGGCGGAGGAAAGGCTCCAAGAGACAATTTCCCAGGAGGAAAAGGTGGCTCTGGGCTCAGGGTCAAGAGCCGCCCTACCCAGGTCCTACCTGCACGATGTCCAGCACCATGCCAGCAGCCACAGTCCCAAAGCCTGCCAGGAGGAAGGGGAACAGCACTTGCAGCCCGATGGAGAAGGAGGTCTCCTTGAGCGGGGAGGGTGGTGCGGGGCCACGGTCCGTGCTGACGTCGTCACTTTCATTGCTCTGGCTCCCGTTCTCCAGCAGGGCGTCCTCCTCCCGAACCCCCTTGGCGTTGGCCCGAGACTCGATCACCACCACCTCTACCCCAGCCTCATCGGGCCCCAGGAACTCTGAGGTCCCAGCCAACGGCTCTCTCCCAGGGCCATCAGAAGAGCAGGGTGAAGCAGGAGGGCCAGTCCCGTTCAGCTGGTGGGCGTCCTTCGGCTCCGGCTTAGAGGACATGACGGGAAGGGAGGAGGAGAAAGGGGAGCTTTCCTCTCTTTTTTGGCTTTCTCTCCCTTTCTAACTTGGGAAAAAACTTAGTCTTGGGGTGAACCCAGGCTTGATTGCCGCGGGACCTCTTCCCACGGCTCTCCGCTCCTACCAGGCGCTGCAAAAACTGATCCACCAACAGGCAGCCCCATCAAGCACTGAAGCCACGAACTGGAAGGAAGCAAGAAAGTCTTAACCAGACTCTGCAGCTGGCCGCTAGGGGTGCAGATGCCTGACCCAGCCAGCCAGCGCCGGGCTTGGGGGAGATGTCTCTGGCCTCTTCTTTGGTTCTCAGCGCAGGCTCCTCTGAGCAGGGGGCATCCAGAGAAGTAGAAGAGCCCAGTCAAGTCTGGGGTGCCCTCTGAGGTGGCCTTCTTTCATGAAAAGTAGCTTGAGTTCAGATCTTTCAGAAGGCAGCCTTGGGCTGGGGCTGCAGCTCCTTCCCCGGCCTCCGGCTGGGCTCTTCCCCACAGCTCCTCGGGCTCTGCTGGTCCCAGGGCAGTGTCTGCTGTCTCTCTCCCTTCTTCCAGAGATTTCCTTCCTTCCTGGGAAGACCTTGTAGCTTCCCAAATCCCTGGTCCTTAAAGTCACAAGAATCTGTGCGGAACACCTTACATGGGAAAAAAGAAGACAAGAGAAGGAGAATGTTATGATACAGAAAAGGCCAGGTTCTCCTGGCAGAATTCTCCCACGAGGCAGGCATAAAGAGTTTGCCATTTGCCTTCCGTTTTTCACTAAAGTCACCCATTCCTGCCCTGAGACATTTGGACGCCCAACAGGCACCATTCCCACCATCCTCCCAACAGGCCACCCCCCGCCCCACAGGGATCACCACTATGGTCAACGGCAATGAGATGGGTCCCGCCTGGGGCTGGGAAGATGCTGGGCAGGAGGCCTTGGCATTGCCTTCTCAGCAACCCGGGGTGGGCAGGGATGCCCTGGCGGGGAATCCCTTCTTGAATGCCCAGTAAGAACCCAAGATTATTTAGGTGGGGTCAGTTACAAATTCAGTCACCAACTCCCTGCCACACAGCCACCCCGCTGTAGAATGTGATTGTTTACAGTCACAAGACAGCCACACAGGGCAGATAAGCAGGGAGAATTTGACCACTGAGTGAAGGCCCCCAGACCCCCTAAAAGCCCTAGTCTCGGAGGAAAAAAAATACCAGGACTCCCTGGGCAATGGGGCAAGGCTGCCAGACCAAGGCCAAGAGCCAGAGGCCTACCCACTCCTGCCCTTGAGAGTCAACAGTGTTACAAAAAGCTCAGACACTGACTTGGATCCAGGCCTCTGTCCCTACTTCTCTCCCCCTGCTCTTGGCCTTGTGAGCTTGTCAGATAGGACAGGGTGTTATCTCAGTTTGAAGGGAAAGAGGGTAAAATGATTGGTTATTATGCCCACATTTAGGTTCTCTAAGTTCGCCCTGTTCCCCGGGGTTACTGAGAGTTGGATATAATGGAATTCTTAAAAAACAAAAACAAAAAACAAAAGCACCAACCGAGGAAAAAAAAAAAAAGCAAAACAAAAACCAAAGCAGCATAAGCCAAAATGCACTTGTCCCCAAATGCAGAGTCTCTTTAGCTTGAATGGCCCCACTTTCCTTGCCTAAAGGAATCCCCAGGCCTTGATCCCACCCAATTCCATTTCATCAGAATAGCTCTCACAAGTAAAAAATATACTTAAAGAGAATTTCCCTAGGAAGGGATGAATATGTCCTCAAGTATTCCAAACACACGCAATTAGTCAACTACAGTTTGGGAAAGGGTGGCTCAAACTCCAGTAACTGGCCCACGGAAATTGTTTTCTCTTTCTATCCACTCACGTCACCAGGACTATCCTTTCCAGTCTCCTTAAACACTGTCCTGTGGTTCTTTCAAATACCCTCACTAGAGATCCAGAAGCAAACCTCTGAGCAGGAGAGAGTTCACTGCCCTTGTGCCAGAAAAGTTTCTGAGTCCGCGAAAACTTGACCCTCCCTCCTTCTCCAGTCTTCCTGGCAGGTCACCTAACCTGGAAGGGGGCTCGAAGGGAGAGAAGCCAGTCCCTCACCCCACTCCTTCCTGTAAAGAGACTTCAGAAGGGCCTAAGGCCCTGGGATGAAAGAAGCAAAAGTGACCCAGGATGCCCTGAGGAGTGGACGAAAAAAAGACCGTTTTAGTATCCCCAAACCCGGGGCGGGTGGGTGGGGGGGTAGTAACTGGGTGTCCTCCCGCCTCTCTCCGATCAGATTCAGCAAATGCGCTGCGCGCCAGGTCTCCCGCCCTCCGCCACCCACCCCCTCAACAGGACTGACCTGCCCCTCGCTTGGGAGGAAGGGGGGCGCCTGGCGAGTGGCAGCAGGGACCCGTGGTCTCGGGGGGTGCAAGGTTCCCCCTCTTCTCATCACTTCTCCTCCTCGGCAGTCCTCCTCGGCCCCCGGCGTGCACCCCACACCCCCAGGCAAGGCGAGCGTCCAGCCGCGACACCCGGCTGGCTACATTTCGCCTCTGCGTTACTGCGAGGCCGCCGCACCGCTTCCACGAGGGGGAGGTGGCCGGGGAGGGCAGAATATACCGCCCCGGGCTCGGGCGGGGGGCACCCAGTCGGGGGACCGCGGGGCCGAGCTCACTCGCCCCAATCGCTTCTTGCCCGCGGACTTGGGCCCGACTGGTTGGCTGCTAGTGGCAAACGTGATCTGGGGCAGACTGGGTGGCACCCCCACTCCATCAAAAATAGATTCTAGATGGACAACAGCATTAGCCAATCGGGTCGAGGCGGGGGCGGGCTCAGCCTCGGCCCGGCCCCTTTCCTTCGCTTCGTGCCCCGGAGGCGGGGCGCCGGGGAAACGCAGTGCGAGGAGTGACGGGAACGCGGAGCTCACTGTCGGTGCCGCGAGCTCGCGGGTCCCAGCGCCCATCCGCCGGCGGCCGGAGGTTCCCGCTTCCCTGCCCTCCAGGCGCTGTGCCATCTCCCTCAGGTCGGCTCCGCCGCGTCGGGCCCATTCCCTCGTCCTTCAGAGGCGTGTGCGCCTGTGCGCGTCTACTCCTGCGTCTTGAATGTTTCCTTGAGCCTCTGGCCGTCAGCAAGCCCGGGCAGCCTCTCTGGGGAGCCAGCCAGCTCTGACCACCTCCCGGGGCTCAAGCAGCCACCGTCGCGCTCTTTCCCCGCGCTCGGTACCCGGAGAGAACCGTCCTTACCTTGTTCCTGGATACAGCTCCTGTCCTGCTGGCTTGTCACCTCGCGCTTCCGCCGGATTCCGCGTTCCTCCAAGCGCATGGCTCAGCCTGATAGAACTGGCCTTAATAAAGTCCCGGCCTAGAAAGGGGTGGAGATGGGCGGGCGGGAGGGAAAAGAGGTCAGACTCACCGCTGGGGTTCCACGCGCACCACCTGAGGCAGGGGCGGAGGGGAGCCTGGCTTCCTCTGACCCACCGATCCTGGTGGCAGCATGGGAAGAGCTGTCTCCATCCCAGGCTAAACGAAGTCCAACTTTCCCTGACGCACCTTAGGGGATCAAAGAGGGGTGTTCCCATTTCGCCTTTGCCACTTCCTCCCTGGGGTATCTCCACCTCTCCAATGCAAACTCGGTACCAGTTCTTTTGGGGGATGTTTTTATGCAGGGGGTGTGACCTCCTCCATAAAGGAACCGCCACCCCTAGGTTTTCCCCTCTTGTCAGTGGAACCTGTGACCAGTGGTTCCTTCCTGTCATTTTCCTCCCGAAAGTGGCTCAGGGGGCATTCGAGCATGACTCCAGACCCCTGGATGGGGTTTGGAGTAGCAGTGTGCCTCGGAAGAGAACACAGTACTGGTATGAAGCTTTTGGCTGTCCCTGCCTCTTGCACACACACACACACACGCACACACGCACACACACACATCAGCATACACAACCACAGGAGCAGGTAATTCCCTTGAGCAAGGATGACAAACATACAACCTAGCCTCCTACCTCCCACTCTAGTAATCAGAATTATTCCAGTTTGGCTGCTGGGACATTTGCCTGCAGTCTTACAGCACCCACTAGAGGAAATGTTAGTGTCAAAATTGGGGTTCTAATTTTGGCTACCAACACTGAGTCTCTCTGCCTGGAGACAGAAGTAACTGCTAAACTAGGAAATCTTGGGCTTCGTCCAAAAAGATCCATTTTTTAACGGGTGATGTAGGGTCGGGTGGGAAATTAAGACTGATCTATCTGGAGACTTCGGTTAGGGGCTGGAAACAGTTCCTGCCCTGCTTCATTCAACAGTCATCCGTGCTTCCTTTTCATCTTGCCACAACTCAGCCACCTGTATGTAAAATCTTAATCTACCTTCTATTCTCTTCCCACCTTCTCCTTTTTTAAAACTCTTTGAAAGCATTTCTCCTCTCCTGTGAGTTTCTTTTTTTTAAAAAATTGAAGCAGATGAGATCTATGGGAAAGTGCACAAATCCTAAGAGTGCAGGTCAGCAAATTATGACACAGTAAATATACCTGTATAACCACTATCCAGATCAAGAATCAGATCATTACCAGTACCCCAGAAGCCCTCCTGATGTCTCTTCCCAGTCACTACCCCACACACCTTCCCAAATTAACCTCTGTCTAATCCAATATGTTAGTTTTACCTGCTTTTGAACTTTATATAAATGAAACCATTCAGTAGGTCTTATTTTGTGCCTGGCTTCTCTCACTCACTATTATGTTTGTGAAACTGATGCATAACGATGTGGTGGCAGTAGCTCATTCATTTTCATTGCTGCATGGTATGCCATTGCAAATATTGATGAAAAATTAATCAATAGTCGATATAAGAAAGAAACAGACAATTTTATTCATGCCATCCTGAGGATTATAACCTGGGGGTCAGTCTTTCAGAAAGCTCTGTGGACTGTTCCACCCATTGCAGGTCAAAGCACAGTTATATATGTTTTTGAGACAAAGGGTTATACATCAAATGATGTATTGACAGTTTGTACAATCCAGAGTTGCAGTACAAAGCAAGTTGTGGGTCCTTGTAACCCCTTACAAGATCAAGAAGGACTGTTACCTCCTACGGAGGTCTGGTTAAGGCAGATGCACCATACACACCAAAGGGAAAGGAGGCCCAAAAGGCAGAGAAAAATTGTATGTTTAAATTTTTCTTGTCTTGCCATGAAATATGAATTATATTTCATCACCATTAAATGCATATACCACAATCTATTTTTCAATTATTCTGTTGATGGACGTTTGGCTTGTTCCCAGTTTGAAGTTATTCTGAATAATGCTTCTGTAACAGTTTGATTTGTGTCCTTTGGTACACTTAAGTTTATATTTCTGTTGGATATATACCTAGGAACAGACTTACTAGGTCATAGAATAGACCTATGTTTAGTGTCAGTAAATGCTACTAAATGATTTCCAAAGTGCTCGAAAGTGTTGGTTTACACTCCTTCTGGGAGTGTCTTCGCATTCCAGTTACTCCACATCCTCATCAGCACTTTATAGTGTCAATCTAAAAAGATTTAAAAATTTTAGCCATTCTGATGGGTGTGTAATGGTATCTCATTGTGGTTTAAACTTGCGTTTCCCTGATAACCAATGAGGTTAAGCACCTTTTCATACATTTATTTGCTATTTGGATATCTGTTCAAGTACTTTGTCCATTTCTTTTGTCCATTTTCTACTAGGCTTTCTGTCTTATTGCTTTATAGGCGTTCTTTATACATTTCAGATATGAGTTCTTCACTGGCTATAGGTACTGAAAATATTTCTGTGAGTATTAAGCACAGAAGACGTCAGTTTTGGGAGCTTCTGAAGCCTCAAGGCCACTATATTGAGAAGACTATAAGCTCTATGTCTATTTTGTGTGTTCCCAGCTCCTAGCACTTAGTAGGTAGTAAATAAGTATGTTGACTGGATGATGGATGAGATGGATGAGACCCATCCAGGTAGTTTGCCCTGTATTGTGCTGATCCCTAGGGCCAAACACTGAAAGGGGCTGCGGGGAGCTGATTTCCTTCTAGCCCTGCCCGCTGTGACCCTGGCAAGGGGAAGACACCCAGTCTTCCCCTACTGAAAAAGCAGAAATAGCTACAGTCTGTGAAGAGAGAAGGGGGATGTAGGAAGCAGAGGTCACAGATGAAAAGACAGGAACTAGCAGCAGGTAGCAAGCCAGCCAGATGCTTCAGAAAGAGAGACTCAGTTGGGGGTGGAGGGGGTGGTGGTGTCAAGGAGACAGTGAGGGTCTCTGGCATGACAGCAGATCTTTATGTAGGTCATGTAGGAGCTCCTCTGGCTTCAAGATATGCTTACTCTTAAAGCTTGTCAGCCCAGAAAGTTCTTCTACTCTTTGCTTCTCCAAAGGATATGCCCTGAGACTTTGGTTGCAGAGTCTCACCCCTACTTCCCCATTAAAAAAATCTCTTTTTTTCAGATATGGCTTTAACTTCCTCATGGCCTGTAATGTCCATCATGAAGATGGAAGACCACTGCCAGTCTCTTCGTCTCCAGGAAGCCTTTCTCCAGGCCTGCTGAGTTCCCTTCTGTCTTCTGTCACTGTCTTTCTCTCCAGCATCCTCTCCTTCTCCTCTTTCAGCTATAACTGATACCAGTTCAGGTCAGACGTCTCTGACCCACGCCCATTACTATAGGAGAGAGATTTCCCCCTTGCAACACGGTCACAAACTCACTGCATCCCCACCCAAGGTCCTCCAGAAGACAGTGAGGCTAGCAGCAGCTCCAGGATTTTCTATACAGGATAAGCTTAGGGTAGCAGTCTAGTTGGAGAGGGCGATGATTTGTCATGAAATGGCATTTGTATAGCAAGCACAGTGTTTCACTTAGCATATGAGATTTTTGGTGGGGGTGGAGAATTCTGGAGAAGGAGGAGGTGTTGATCACTGCCAGGGGCCAGTGGAGGAGCCTATGAGAGAAGGACCTCTGTGAGCAGCCTTCTTCAGTCTTGCTTGGTGCTTTTCCTACCATGTGGTTCATTTAGCCGCTATCCTGGGGTCCTTCGGGTCCCATGACTTTCCTTCATGGATAGTTGCTGTCTACCAAAGGCTTCTCCACGGATGACCTGGATACTTATCCTGCAACATCATAAAATTCCAGAACCCTGTAAATCCTGGATCCCCCAACGAGCATGGCATAGTCACAAGACTAGCCTGACACGGCTGGAAACTTTTCTGTGTTTTGTTTCTGCCAGGGAAAGGGTGCCTCCTCCCATTTTTCCCCTTGCTATAACCCCTCCCTTGCTGTCTCCCTCGCAGAGGTCAACTTCTTTCCTGCTGCGCAGAGCTAAGGTGATATCCCCTTCCGGCTTCATTCAGTTCTAGGAGGATGTAGTGATGGGGGTGGGATGGGGAAGTATGGCCATCTGTGCTCACAGCTAGTTGCTTTCACCATCCCCTTTGCTTCTCTCTAATTGAGCTCCCTTTTCCCAAAGCCCCCTGGAGACTCTCCCTGGGTTCCTCTAGGCTGAATGGTTCCAGGTATTTTGGAACTGCAGTTCTGAAATCACTGGGTATAACTGGAAAGACGTAGCAGCAAGCAAAATAGTCTGGTGAGCTATAACTGGGGAGATGAAGTAATCTTTGAGAGGCAGGGCTGCAGAGTGGAATGTGCCAAGGCTTTGTAATCACATGGGTTTGAATCCATGCTCAGTCACATATTAGGTATGTGACCTTGAGCAAACTCCTTTATGTCTCTGGGCCATATCTAAAAAATGGAGACACTATTCTTTTATAGAGATGCTGTGAGAATTGGTGACATCATGGCATTTGGAACATTTCCCGCACATAGTAGGAACAGTATGATCTCACCAAAGAGGAAGGAAGAGCCACAAATAATAATAGGCATCTGGAAGGGGCAGCTCAGGCTCTTTCTGGGAATCACGCTGAAGTCTAGACTTCACAGAGTTAAAGGGTTAAAGATGGCCAGTCTCTGTCACACGGATGTGGGTGGGGCGATAGTCCAGGGAGGTATCACTCCTGCAGTAAGTCATCAGCCAAAGATGAGTAAGCTTTACCTTTCCAGGGACAGGATGCAAGAAGATCGCATTTTGCAAACCAGATTATCTGGTTTCAAATTGCCCTCAATGTTTATTGCCCTTTGATTATCCGCTAGCCCAGGGTTTCCTAAATAGGCCTCGTCATAGGAATCACCTGTGGGCACTTCTTTTAAAATATAGATTTCCAGGCCTCTCTCCTGGAAATTCTGTTTCCAGAGATCTGGTGTCAGGCCAGGAAATCACCCTTTTAATTAGTGCCCCAGATGACTCCTATGATATGACCTGTTTGGGGAACATTGCCCCAGTCTGATGGTTCTCAATCATGGCTGCATATTAGAGACTTTCTGGAGGGCTTTAATAACAATATGCCTTTGTCATAGGAGGAAACACTGAATGCTAGGAAGGCTCTGAAAGTCTTCAAAGACATGGAGATGCTTCAACTGAGTCTTCCTGTGTGGATTTATACATTAACTCATTTAATCCGAATAATTACTCTGTGAAGTAGGCTTTTGCAGTATACTAGGTCAAAATCAAGTCAGTGGATTGGAGGAAAGTAGGTATGTTTAAAAGTTATTGAGGTCAGTCATTAGGGAAATGCAAAGCCACAATAGCATACCACTTCACACAAACTAGGTTGGCCATAAAAAATAAAGAGCAAAAAACAGAAAACCTAACAAGTATTGGTGAGGGTGTGGAAAAATTGGAACCCTTGTGCATTTGCCGGTGGGAATGTAAAATGATGTAGCTACTGTGGAAATACTTCAGCGTTTCCTTAAAAAGTTTAACGTAGAATTAGCATATCACCCAGCAATTCCACTCTGAATTATAGGCCTGAAAGCACTGAAAACAAAGGAGAAAAGCATTCTAGTTAGAGAAAACAGAGTGAAATGGTAGGCAGGCAAGGGAGAATGTGGCGTTTTCAGGGAACAGCAGGGTGTTGTTCAACAAGTGGCCTCATGCACGTAGAGAAATGGAGGGTGAAAGATGAAAGGGGAGCTTTGACGATATAAGTTATACAACTTGAGACTCATTTCACATGGACCTATTGTTTTATGTGTTGGTTTTGTTTTCCCACCCAGACTACAAATTCCTTGAACGTGGAGACGTTATATTTTTACATTTATATTAATTTTTTAATGCCTTACGTTTTAAGATTTCTGTGGTGTTTGGTAATGCATGCTACTTTTTAAAAAGACTATTTTTTAAAAGAGCAGTTTTAGGTTTATAATAAAATTGAGAGAAAGGTACAGAGATTTCCTATATATCCCTTGCCCATGCATAGCTTCCCCCATTATCAACATCGCTTACCAGAGTGGTACATTTTTCACCAAGGATAAACCAATTTGACACATCACAATAACCCAAGTCCATAGTTCACCTTAGGGTTCACTCTTTGTGTTGTATATCCTATGGGTTTGGACAAATGTATAATGATATCGCTCTACTATTATAATACCATACGGAGTATTTTCACTGCCCTAAAAATCCTCTGTGCTGTTCGTGTTCATAACTTTCTTCCTCCCCAACTACTGATCTTTTTATTGTCTCCAGAGTTTTGCCTTTTCCATAATGTCATAGAGTTAGAATCATACACTACATAGCTTTCTCAGATTGGCTTCTTTCACTTAGTAATATGAATTTAAAATTCCTCCATGTCTTTTTCATGTCTTGATAGCCATTTTATTATTTCTATTTACTTAAATTTTTTTTCATAGTTTCTTTTCAGTGCTAAATAGTATTCCATTGTCTGGATTTACCACAGCTGTTTATCCATTCACCTACTGAAAGATATCTTGCTTGCTTCCAAGCTTTGACAATTATGAATAAAGCTGTTATAAATGAACATGTGCAGCTTTTTGTGTAGATGTAATTTCCAGCTCCTTTGGGTAAATACTAAGGGACAGGATGGTTGGATCGTATGATGAGTATGTTTAGTTTTGTGTGAAACCACCAAACTGTCTTCCAAAGTGATTGTACCACTTTGTATTTCCATCAGCATTGAAAGACAGTTCCTGTTGCTTCGCATCCCCACCACCATTTGATGTTATCAGTGTTCTGACTGTAATTGGTGTGTAGCGGTATCTCATTGCTTTAGTTTGCATTTCCCTGAAAACATATGATGTGGAACATCTTTTTGTATGCTTATTTGCCATCTATATATTTTTGATGACTAAAGGTCTTTGGTCCATTTTTAAATTGGATTGTTTAGACTTGTATTGTTCAGTTTTAAGAGTTCTTTGTATGTTTTGGATGAAAATCTCTTATCAGACATGTCTTTAACATCCTAATTTAAACTTACAAACTTGGTTCTTCTTCCTCGATCGGACCCTTAGATATTGAGTATCATTTATGGTGCTCTGTTGGTGACTCCTGAATATGACTTTTCTTCTGAGCTCCAGACTTGGATGGATCAGCACTTCCCACTTGTCACATCCTGGAGCTCATCATCTCCCGGATATCTCCTCCTCCTCCAAATTCCCATGTCAGCGAATGTAGTCACTCTCCCATTGGCTCAGATCAGCTAGCTGGAAGTCCGTCTTGTCTCCTTCCTCTACTTTTCCATCTCCCTACCATCCATCAGTCACCATGTGCCATCCATTGACTCCCCCTCCTGAAGACTTTTTTTTTGGATTTTATTTTTTGAGGTAAAATTCACATAACATAAAATTAGCCATTTAAAAGCATACAATCCATTAGCATTTAGTGTATTTACAGTGTTGTGTAACTATTACTTCTTAGTTATGAAACATTTCATCACCCCTAAAGGAAATCTCTTAACCATTAAGCAGTCACTCCCCATTCCCCATACGCCCCCCACCCCAGCCCCAGCTCCTGGCAACCATTAGTCTGCTTCTGTCTCTATGGATTTCCCTATTCTGGACATTTCATAAAAATGGAACCATGCAATATGTGAATTTTTGTGTCTGGCTTCTTTCACTCAGCATAATGATTTCAAGTTTCATCCAAGTTGCAGGATGTGTCATTTCTTTTTATGGCTAACAGTCTATAAAATGGATACAATGTATTTATTTTGTTTATCTATTCATCTATTGATGGACCTTTGGGTTGTTTCCATGTTTTGGCTATTGTGACTAGTGCTGCTCTGAGCTTTTGTATACACACATTTGTTTGAATACCTGTTTTCAATTTGAGTATATACTTAGGAGTGGAATTGCTGGGGAATAATGGTTATTCTATGTTTAACTTTTTGAGGAAACAACCAACTGTTTTCCAGAGCAGCTGCACCATTTAACACTCCCACCAGCAAATGTACAAGGCTTCTAATTGCCCCACAACTGCCTCACTAACACTTGTTTTTTTCCTTTTTTTTTTTTGATTATGGCTAACCTAGTGAATATGAAGTGGTGTCCCATTGTGGTTTTGATTTGCATTTCTCTAATGACTAACCTAAATAACTTTTTAATACGCCTACTTTTCTCCAATCCACTGACTCGATTTTTCAACTGTCACATTGCAGTAGACTACTTCATAGGGTAATTAGGATTAAATGATTATCCATTCACACAAATATATATAGACAGATGTAATTATTTAGAACAGTGCCTAGCATATAGTAATCACTGAGTAAGTGTTAGAAAGAAGGAATAAAAGGGAGAAGAGAAGGATGAGAGGATGGAAGGAAGGAAAAAATAACCTGTTAACTGTTCTTCCCTTTCCCATTGTCCTTAAGTCAAGTTCCAGAATTCCTCCCTTGACTTACACGGCCCAAACAGGCCTCCTTTCAGTTTCCTGAAGACATCGTGCTCTCATTTTCACACTTGATTTTGTCTGGTGCAACATCCCCACCCATCCTCCCGGCCCCGCCCCAACTTTTTTACTTTGTTAACTCTTATTCTCAGCTTACTCATAACCTCTTCACCACAGAAGCCTTCCTGATTTCCCCCGACCAGGCACCATGGAGTGTTTAAAATAAGACATTATCTGTTAGACATGGGCAAGAGAATGCCTTGCCCTGGGCTTCATGTTTTAGAAGGTACCATAGATGAAAACCACAAAAGACCTAAATCTATTAAAAACATAGGGGTGTTTCTGTCCTGTGGGGTTCAGCATTCGGTGCTGGCACGCATACCTGGTCAGATTAACACTTGTTTCTGAGACTCAGGCTCCGGAGAAACACTTCTCAATATAAATTGCCCTATGTCTTCAGAAAAGAAAAAAAAATTGCATCTGAAATGCCCTGAAGGTTTGTGGGGTGTGTCACTGTGGACCTGGGAGACAGACATAACTTTGGAGTGAAGGGTGGAACTGAGCTGTCAAAGTGCTTAGCTAAGTGAAAAGAAAATTGACGTGTCAGATCCTTCCTCTCAGATAGTATGACTGCAGTGGATTCCTGCATGACACGTCATTTCCCAGCAGTGCTGGGCAACCATTTTCTTGCTCCTCTTTGAGTTTCAATTTCTGGTTCTGGAGGCACTCGTGAATGTATAGGATGTGCTGCACTGCACATGGTGGCTGAGGAACGTTTTGTAGTATTAAATAAGTCATAACATTCTTACCTTTGTAGCTCTGGATGTAACATACATGAAACACGATACCTACCCGTTTTATTGATAGCCACATGGACACTGAACACAAATGTTGCAAATAGTTTCATTTTTATCAATATATTTAATTAGGTTTAAATTTTCAAAAAAAAATGAATGAAGTGTCCAGCTCTTCAATGGGAACTTTTTGTCTCTTTCTATTATTTCCTCTGGAAGAAAAGAATATTGGATCTTGAAGTTTTCAGAAACCCAGGTTCAAAATCAAGGGACTTCAGCCCACATTTACTACTTTCCCTTCCCACTCTCCTTGCTTATGAATAAATTGTCTTCCTTCCAGTCTTAGGGAGTGAGGTCTGAGTTAAAAGCTTGAGCTAAGTCCTTGATGGGGGTGTGCGGTGTCCTTGTGATTCCCTGCTGTAGCTCCTTCAAGGTGGATTTGAGGAGTGGTATGATGGATGTAGGTAAGGGTGGAGGAAAGTCACAGATTCATTGTCCCATCCTGCCCAGAATCTTAGGGCTCATGTTGTTCTGGCCTGACCAGTACTTTCAGCTGCTCTTTCCAGAAGCCTTCAGAGGCCATAGGCTGGTATGTCTGTATTCTTAGAGCCAGGATTTGGAGCAATTCCCTCTCAAGGCCTTCCTTCCCCCTCAGAAGACTATCCTTTCTGATGCTACAAGAGAGTGGTGAGGCCAGAGGGAGAGAGGGTCCCCTGCTCATCCTTCTCCCAGTCATCCCACAGATCTTTAGAGACCTGGCTGTCCCCAGAGTCAAGAAGGGAAAAGAGCTGAACCCAGAAGCTGGGGTGGGGGTGGTAAGGAATGTTGGCAGATAGAGGGAGAGGGGTGAATAGGGAGAGGTCAGGTAGGGGAACCCAGAGAGCTTGAGCTAAGTACCAAACCCAACAGCAAAACAGCCCTTGTCCTTGAGATCTCCCTGGATCAGAGTGAACGAGCCACACACCACGGGCTCCTGGGGCAGGCAGTGTGCTGTAACTGACAAAGCACAGGACTTGGGAATGTTTGAGCTGCGTTTGACTTCTAAGGCTGCCCCTTAAGAACGGTGTGATCTTGGGCAAAAGACTTCTCTGAGCTTCAGTATCTTCTTTAGGACTATTAGCACGGGCTTTGGCTTCTGCCCCGATACCTGCACGACCTTGGGCAAATTGCTTAAACTCTGAGCCTCAGCTGTCTCAACGGTAAAAACTGGGGGAGTGACACTTTTGGTGTTGGCAGCACTAAATAAGATAATCAATCGACGGGAAGGAGATTTCCTCAGTACCGTAGGATCATGGAAGAACAATGAGCTTGGGGTCAGGTGACATGGGTTTGAATCTGCCCCCTGTTAGATGTATAACCTCTCTGAGAACCAACTCCTCCTTGGTAAGAAGAAGGGCTCCTTCTTAGCGGGGCTCTGATGAGATAAGGTGTATGAAAGCACTTTGCACAGCTCTGTACGAATGTGAAGAATCCTTTTTGTTCTTCAGCTCACCCTCTAACAAAGGCTGAATAAGTACTGAATTGGCCAAAAAGGGAGGGTGAGGGAAGGAATGTGAAATCTTAGGGGGAGTAGCAAAAACCCTCAAATAATCCCTGCACTGTGTTTCTAACTTTCCATTAGGCCCAAGCTCCTAAAAAACAGCTCACATCCCCAGGCAGGTAGATGGGATGGGGCAGGGGGCTGTGAAGAGGGAAAAGGAGCCCACTGCTGTCAAACCCCAGGAAGGCATGGAAGGTCCTTGCCTGGAGAAAAAAAAAGGGAGTTTTTCAAGTCCCAGCTCCCTCTGTGTCTCCCTCCATGACCTCAACTCCCTTGTGATCCACAAAGCACAGCTCCCAGCCTTGAGCCAAGAAATGCTGCCTTTCAATGCCCCCCACCTGACAGCTACTGAGCAGATTCAAATATGCTCAGGCTTGGATTCCAGAGAAAAAAGGCAGGAGTTCCATAGCCCCCAAAGGGAGGGCAGTTCGATCCCCTCTCCTGCCTGATCAGCCAGGGCAGAGCCCCTCAAGCCAGTCCCCCACCCCATGCCCTCCAATTCCCTGGACATGATGCCAGGGCCAGAGCCCTGCTGGTCCTGCACTCCACCGAGAGGCTGGGTCATGAGTGCCCTTCTCTTGGGAGCCCAGCCTGCAGGATGTGCCAGGGAAATGTTTCCACAGATTAGTGCCTCCTGGGGCGGGACAGCAGCAGCAGGTGGCAGGAGTAGGACAGGGGAGGGAGCAAAGCCCCAGGAACGCTTGGGAGGAGCCCAAGGACAGAGGCTTCCTTCTCAGAACCAGGAGGTCTGGGGTTCCTCCAAAGCCCTGTGCCTCTGTTTCACCCCTCAGTGACCAGTTGATGTTGCATAGATCATTTTATTTGACCAACTGTTTGGGTAATTATGGTAGCCGAGTTTGACTAAGTCCTGCTCCAGGGGTAGAACAAATTAGAGGGTAGGGGGAAGGATGTAGGGGCAGGAGAGAAGAGATGAAAAGTCAGCTAAATAACCCAAGGAGAGTGGGGGCAGAAAAGGGAAAGGAAGTTACAGTAAGAAGAAATATATAATTGATGAAGACAGCCTAACAAGTATGTCCTAAATTAAACACTTGTGAAAGGTAAAACCTGGTTGATATTTTAAAAATCTGCATTTAAGTCAGCCCTTAACAAGGGGCAGTTAAATCACCAGTGTAAGACAGACAAGTCAGGTACCTTCTAAGATCGGGCCAAGAGGGCAGTAAATGCCAGTCAGTGGATGGCTGTAGTCCTTGGGTGGAAAGGAGAAACCAGATTCCTGCTGGCCCTCCCCTTCCCCCTGGCCTTGTTCTTGGGTGAGTCTGAGGAGTGAGCAAGGCAGGTGGGCGAGATTATTATAATGACCCAAGGTTTCATCAACACTGGCTTTCCGCCTTGGGTTAGTCCTGGCCCCAGCCTCAGGCATCCCTGACCCAGCTGGCTCCCCAACCTCATAGTTCGTGCAGGTGAGGAGCTGGCATCCGGTCTGTGTCAGCATTCTGGATCAGCTCAAAGATGAATTTCACCTGGGTCTCATAGGCTTGGACTGAGATCTTCTCATTGATTCCGTGGATGCTGAGGGAAAGAGATGCGGGGGGCAGAGTCCACTGCTGTAGTACAAGTGTTATTACAGAGCACCCCCTCACCCTACATCCCCGGAGGCAGCCATTTGTAAGAAGTGAGGGCTCATATGACATGTTGGTCATCACTCCAGGGTCCCTGACCATGGCAAAGAACCGTGCGGGGAGATAGTAAACTGGGGAGTTCAGAATTCTCTCCTGCTCTGGAATCCATTCGATAATTTCTCCTTTGAGAGGAAATGATCTCTGTAATTCTCTCTTTTAGGCCAGAGTCCCAGCTAGACTTATCTCTAAGCCAGCAACCCCGCCCTCACATTACTAGGGACACAAATGGAAAGGGAGGGCAGCTCCCCAGGGTACCCACGGGGTTCCCTATTTCACTGGGAACTTCACCACCAGACCCGATGCCCACAACCTGCCTCCCCAACACAGTTCCAACACCTGACCAAACCTCAAAGATGAGAGAACATAAAGAAGAGTTATCCCCTTGCTACTCCCACCTCCATTAAAAAATGAACCAAAGAACACCCCCCCATGAAATCTGTACTTTAGCTTATATTCAAATATTTTTGTTCTGTTGGCAACTGACTTATGATGAGGAAATCAGGGCTGGATATGCTAAGGAGCAGAGGGCTAAATGAACCCCCCCACACACACACACCCCGGGACTAACAAGTTGCTGAAGAACCCACAAAGCAGTAATTCACACGCAGTAGTTGAAACTGGTGAACATGTCTTCGGTTCCTACAGTGGGTGTTTCTTTTGAGGATTCAAAGCACGAGCCCACCTTTGACCTCGTCCATGTTTGCATTTCACTGAGTGGTAACTGAGAACTCTAGAGTCTCTCCTTTTTGGGGAGAAAATGAGGTCCAGAGGGGAAGCACTCTCTCAAAAGGAGGCAGAGCTGGGATTAGCACCCAAGGGTCCCAATTCTTACAGGCTCTCTCCAATCATCTGATTATCCCCATCCCTGAAAAATAGTCACCAATTCCCACAAACTCTGGGGAGTGACAAGACTCTGGTACTGAGGGAATTTGGCCAGTTGGGTTCTACAATGTCTTAATTTTAGTTTGTGCAACCCCAGGTTTCCCCCATTCTGTGGACTGTCAGGAGAATGGGGTGGGAAACAGATAGGTCAGTGTATCTCCCCTCTCCCCACCAAGCTGTCCAAACCTGTTGCACTCACACACCTGCGGAAGCCCTGAGGCTGCAGGTAGATGGGGTTGAACCGGTAGATGCCAGTGGTGAGGTTCGTAAAGTGTCTGCTGTCTGTGTTGCCGATGCAAATACCTAGAAAGAGAGAATCAAGAGGAATGGGGCTTTATGAGAGCAGCCAAGCCAAGACAGTGGTGGCAGGTGGGCTATCTGGAAAATCAGGACCCCTGAGTCACCCCCAAAAATATCTGGCCCCTCTTTGGGAGCCTGCAGCTATGAATTTTTATCCTCAGGCTACTAATTCTCAAAACCTTTCTAAGATACCATTTTAGCCAGGACCATGGGATCTCCTCTCAAGGGCATTAGTGAGACACCTCTTGAATGGTCCAAAGCTAAATACCCTTCTCCATGATGACCAGGGAGGCCAATAGGTTCATTTCATACCCATTGCCAGGTTATCCTAGAAATCTAGACATCCAGAAATCTAAGTATCACTTCTTTATTGCCTGAGCTTTCTTGTGTATCACCCAGGCCAGAAATAAACACTCTCGGGGGTAAATTTCCTGTTATTCTTGTCCTCTGAAGGAGGACTCTGTTTTCTGAGAGTCAGACTTCAGGTCTGGAAAGCCCCAGGACACTCCTGGTGTCCTGCGCTCTTCGTGTCATGGCACTCCCCAGCTGGGGCTGGGACTTGTCCCTAGTATAGGAGGGGACTTTGAAAAAAGGCGCCCTGGAGCATGAGTTAAGGATGATACGTGTTTTGTTCTATTTTCCACTCCTGATTTCAAATGGGTAATCAGCCCCTTCACAATTCCTTGCTTTGGGGATTTCTACCAGTTGATGCCTGCCTATCTTTGTTCTGTGAAAAATCAAACTCTGTTGATGGGATTATGGCAGGTGCCCCATAAGGCAGAGGGGAGGGGAGGGAGCCTTTGAGGGCCCAGAAAGGAGAATCAGGGAGTGTGAAAGCCAGGGTTCCTAGATGGTGGGGACCCAGTTCCTGTTCTGTGGCAGGAGTCCAAGGAGGTGGCAAACCTCAGAGGGTATGTTCAGGGAGGATGTTGGGTCTAAAGTCAAAGATCCCACTCCCCAGACGGGCCAGGAAATCAGAGGAAATCTGCAACCTGCAGCGACCCTGTGGCTGAAACAACGGATGTCTCCGAGGTAACCCTGAGGACCCATGACCTCAGGCTAAGGGACCCTGATGCCATGTTGCCGCATAAGACCCTGAGGCCTGATTCAAAGTAGGGGTGGTGAGGGTGCTTGGAGTAATGTCTGAGGTTGAATTTCTGAGGAGTGAGTCAGATTTAAGTTGATTTTTAAAAAGTCCGCTTTTTTCACACCTGAAGAGTTTATGGATGCAGAATTTCACTGCACTCTCCTTAAAAGCCCATACCTAGCATGGGGGCAGGTCCTAAGAATTGGCTTGGAAAATGAGGGAATCCATGACTAAACCCAGAAAAAAGGCAAGTGGACACAGGGCCTCACATTAGAGCATCTCTTCCTCACATCACAGACCAGAGATTCTCAAACTGTGGTCAGCCATCATCTGGTGTCAGAATCCCCTGGGGCATTTGTTAAAACGGCAGATTCCAGGGTCCTCTGCAGAGCTGGCTAACCCGAATCTTTAGGAGTGGGTCCAGGTAATCTGCATTTTAATAAGTTCCCTAGGCGATCCTCTTCTACTCTGGAAACTGAGAAGCTCTGTCTATGCGGTCTGTAGATCTGGAAGGTATGTTGCAAGACTGGGGAAGGGGCCGAGAGGCACTGCTGCCGGGAGAGGTCAGGGGGTTCATGCAAATGATACAGTCAGGAGGACTTTCTGGGCTGCAGATTCCGAGCTCTGTTGCTGAGCTGTTATTCTAGAGTGGATCAGAACCCACCTGGGGGGGAACCTGGGCCCCTCTGTGTCTCCTCTGGAGGAGGGGGAGGCTAGGCTGAATCCTCTCAGAGTGACTGGCCTAGGTTAAACAAGGACCCAGGCTTGGCTGACCTAATTGATTGTTTCTGCTCCTTTCCTGTTTGCGTTCTCACTTCCACTTGGAGGGGAAAATACAGTTCCAGTCCCATCAGGAGAGGAAGCAGCCAGCTGTTTCCAGGCTGAACAGCTGGGGTGGGGGTGGGGCAGTGAACACTGGATAGGAAACAGTCCCAGCCCCCACCGCCCCCCCAGCCACCCCTGATGAAGTCATTACCTGGGACAACAATGTTGACTTCCGGGAAGACAGAGTGTACGGTCTGGCGGAGCAGCTGGTAGCCCAGGGCCTGATCGTCAGAGGGGCTGACCGGCAGGGGGTCAAAGGCACCCAGCACCTGGAACTGGACCCGGTCATCAGCCACAATGTCCTTGGCTAGTTTTAGGACCTGGAGGGAGGAAACAAAGAGAGTTCAATTTCTTATCCATCTGCCATCCAAGTGCCCGGTGAACTGACACAGTCCTGCTTTCTCTCCAGCAAGGCAGAGCCCTGCGGTTTACAGAGGGGACTCATTTTAGCACTGGGACCTCAATTTCAGCTGACTGGTGGTAGGAGCTAGAAGAGCTGGGTCTTTCTGGAAATCTCCAGCAGGGGAGATTTAGGTTAAGTGTTTGCGAGCCTTGCCTTACAGCCACGAAGCAGGCGGGGGATTGGACAATCAGGAAACTGTGTCCTTCCCCTTGGGTTGTGAGCTATGGGCCGGATGAAACTAGAGAAGAGACAGCACAGTAGAAACCATCTCGAGGCAGGAGGAAAAGATGTGATGACCTCACTTCAACCTGGGAAAGCCTCAGACAGGTGGTGAAAGGGTCACACACTTTTCTTTCTTTCCCCTCTCTGGGCATCCCTGCTTCCTGTTTGTAACCAACTGCACCGGAGCCAGGAAGATGAGCTCAACAGACAAAAAGTCAGGAGTTGGGGGACTGGTATTCAAGTTCTCTCTCTTTGCCTCCTTTCCTCAGGAAGGAACCTGAGGAAGCTTCTAGAAAATTTGGTCTGAAATGACTAGGGCAGGACTCAGCAAAAGTCCTGGTCCTAGGCAGGATGTAGACCAGACCCTGAGGATCAGATCACACAGAGCCATGTGGGAATGGACCAGGGGGCTGGTTTAGGGTGGCCCCCCGAAACCCACCTAGCTACCCAGAGAGAGCCCCAGCACTGGTCTCAACCCATCTGATTGGCAGTTGCTTTAGAATTGTCTCTGGCAAAAGGAGCACGTATAGCTCAGTGGTAGGTGGGGTGTGTCGAGTTCAACCCCCAGTACCTCCATTAAAAAAAATTAAATAAATAAATAAACCTAATCACTCCCCCAAAAGCAAAGAAAGAAAGAAAGAGAAGAGAAGAGAAGAGAAGAAGAAAAGAAAAGAAAAGAAAAAGCTGTCTCTGCTGTACAAGGGTGAGTGTCTCATGGCTGGAGGGCATTGTCTCATGCGCACCCCTTTTGGGTCGGTGTCCCCTAGCAGCATGCTACGAGCCGAGTCTGGAAAGGAAACGAAGGTTTCTACTTCTGGCTTAGAAATCACCATTTTTTCTGCCATTGGATTGGGGGAGAGGTCAACTCACTCACCAGTGCTTATTTTCACTCTAGTCCGTATCTCCAAAACACTCTAATACAAGAACATAAAGTCTTGATGTATACTTGACCCACCGGGAGGTTCCCAAAGTCATCCTCTATAAGGTGGGTTGGGACTGTGCCCGCTGCCCCCCGCCAGGATGGCACACTGACTGGACCTCCTTCAGTGAGAATCGTAAGAGTCCAGGTTTCCCACAAGGTGCTCGGCTAGGTCCTGACTCAAAGTCAGGGGCTGTGCCCACCTCATTCCTCTATTTCCAGTGCCAAGAACATAAAAGGCATGCAGTGAACCTTGGGTATACAAAATTGAAAGATGTGAACCAATAAAAATAACAGTGGGGACTGTCTCATTAAGTAACTTGCCCGAGGTTTATAACAGTCAGTGTTGTGGGCTGCGTGCCCGAGCCTGGTCTGTCTAACATCACAAGGACGACGCTTTACTGCTTCCACAGTACAGACAGGCTGGGGTGGAGTGGAGAAGAGACAGAAAGAGGGTGGTCTTCATTCAAGACGGAATCCTTAGTGGTATGAACTTTGAGCCAGAATTTGAAGTATATGAAACTGATGGAGAAGAGGCAAGGGGTAGCCTGAGCATGGAGAGAAGCACGCACAGAAATTGAGCAGAAGCACCGAACTTTGTCGCTCAGACGGCCACTTGCAGTTGTGTGACTTCGGGCAAGCTCCGTAAGCTCTATGTCTTGGCTTGCTCATCTGTTAGCACAGGATACTAGTAGCACCTGCCTGGTAAGGCGGTTGTTACCATTACCAGGATATATGCCATGTGCTTAGCTGGTTCCTGGCACACAGTACACACACACTCCAATATATTTTAGCTGTTATTTGCCTTTTTAGAATAGAGGGACCACCCTGGGTGATAACCAGAGACAGAAGGATAGGACCAAGGGGAGGGACTCATCAGTGGTAAGAGGACCTCAAAGGTTACTTTAGAGCAGACTGATCCTTCATTTCTTTGAGCTCCCAGTCCTTACAGCCTATTCCCACACTGTGCTGACTTCTGTTTTGAGCAAACTCTTTTTTCCCAAATCCCTCTCAAGTGAATGATAGATTCGTCTAAGGAAAGGAATGAATGCTTAAAAACTGGTAAGGTGTTTAGAGTTAGCAAGAGCAGCTTCGTCCTGCTGTAAGGCTGCTCATTAGAGCATCCATGACAGGTTGTCATTAGCTTGTGCTTGAATAATTCCAGTGGCAGAAAGGTCACCATCATGTGTTTTTAATCTATTTCACATTTGAACAACTCTGTTATGAACTTCTTCCTAATAATGAACTGAGATAAGGCTTCCTGTAGCATCTAACTTCCCTCCATCTCTCTCTCTTTTTTCTTTTTTGATATTCTATGTAGACCACAGATACAGGTACTGGACACATCAGCCGCATTTCACCTCTGTTGAGATGAGAGGCCTGAGTTCTTGCTGCCTGGGTGCTGTTCCCAGGCCGTTGCTCCTTCTTGGGTCTCAGGGTAAGTACGCCTCAGAGAGGGCTGACTACTATATTTAAAGCTGCTCACCGCCCCACTCCCTCCTCCACAACCACTTTGTGACACTTCAACCTACAATCGTCTTTATGGTACCCACTTCTTAAAAAACCACCTGGTTCATTCATTTGATTACTTGCTTACTGCTGCCTCTTCTCCATTAGTATGTAAGCCCCAGTGGGATGGGGATCTTGGCTGTCTTGTTCAGCATTTTCCCAAGTGCTTGGAAGGATGGCTAGCCCATAGTAGCCACTCAGTAAACCCTTGGCAAATGAATAAATGGAGGAAGAAAGGAATTTTCTGTAAAACACTTCAAACAGGTGGACATCCATCCTCTGAGAAGCTCATTACCATCCAAGGTGCCATACTCGAACATATTTAAGTGGGTGCTCCTTGAAGCATTTTCCAGTGGCCTTATTTCTACTACCTGAGGCCCACTGAGAATAAGCTTTCCTTTTACTTGGTGGTCTGTTACATGTCTGAAGGCTCTTGTTCCTATAAGATGGCTGCCAGAGACCTATCTGGCATCTGTCTTTGGGACAGACCACTTAAAGATGGAGTGAAAGGGTTCTTGGAGCCATTTAAGTTCGCACTGGATCCAGCCCAAGGCTCTGCACCTTCGGCCCTCAGACCAGCAGGGAGTGTCCCTGACGCATGGAATCGGAGCACGAGGAGTGAAGTGACCAGGACAAAGCTGTGTGCTTTTGGGACGATGGGGTCTTTCCGTTCCTCACTGGGGCAGGTGAGCAGGATGGGCCTAGGGATTCCAGGGAACTCATCAGATAGGTGGGGAAGGAAGGCCACGGTGGCAGGGGACTGGAGGGGAGGGAAGAGTGCCAGAACCTGGGGAGATGAAAGCCCCAGCTGGGGGCAAACGGCCCTTGGAAAGGGCATGGAGTTGGAATGAGGCTGGAAAAAAACTGGTGGAAAGAAACTCAGTGAGGGGAATTCAGTGATTTCCTGGCCCCATGAGCCCCTGGGGAGAGGACAAAGGTTGGCACTGGATGAAAAGCAGCAGAGCCCAGGGCTCACATTGTCCCAGCTCCCCCTCAATGCTGGGTGATGCTGGGCAGGCTGTCAACCTGTCCCCCCAATTCCTGCGGCCAGGGGTGTGCCTCCCACCCTCTGTGAGGACACACAAAATCCTCCACCGGGAAGGCTCTAGGGAGAAAGGACAACAGAAGTCTAAGCGTGGTGGACCCTGGATGATTTGTGCCAGGGACTCCGGAAACACCACGTGCCCCTCACCCTGCTTAATTCTGGAACATATTACTT